GCTCTAAAAGGAAATAGAACCTCCACAAATAGAGCATAAATGGCTAAACTTGCAAGGATGCCTAGCATACATTCTTGAGATCCAAGTTTACAGCAAGAGACCCTGTTGTTGTTTCTGATCCACCAATGGTTTTGTTGAAATGGAAGTTTGGCTGCATCTGACTATGTGGTTGCTATGTATATGTTTTCCCTATGTAGCCTCACCTCATTGAAAATATGATATATGTCTACAGTTGCAACTGCATTTGAGCCCTGAGTAAGGTTTGATTAATGTATGCTGTCATATGGAAATATTCATGAAAATACAGCCTGAGAAATCTATATAAGTCCTTTAGAGAATGGCATGTTCACAGTCTGTGTCTCCTCATAGTGATACTCCATTGGTCCAATCCAGGGGTCCTCAAACTAAGGCCTGGGGGCCGGATGCGGCCCTCCAAGGTCATTTACCCGGCCCTTGCTCAGGGTCAACCTAAGTGTGAAATGACTTGAAAGCACATAACAACAATAACAATCCTATCTCATCAGCCAAAAGCAGGCCCACATTTCCCATTGAAATACTAATAAGTTTATATTTGTTAACATTGTTCCTCATTTTAATTATTGTATTGATTTTAAGTCTTTTTACACTACAAATAAGATATGTGCAGCATGCATAGGAATTCATTCATTTTTTTTCAAATTATAATCTGGCCCTCCAACAGTTTGAGGGACTGTGACCTGGCCCTCTGTTTAAAAAGTTTGTGGACCCCTGGTCCAATMCATGTGACAAGAWCCAGGGTGGAATTAGATGGAGAGGGAAGACAAGACTTAGAAAGGTTTTGCCTCTGTTTCTATACTTCTGTCTTATGATATATGGCAGGCATCCTCAAACTGTAGCCCTCCAGCTGTTTGGGCCTCCAACTCCCAGAAGCCCTAACAAGCTTGTTCAGTGGTTAGGAATTCTGGGTGTTCCATTGCAAATAACTTCATCCAGACATAGAAAGAAGATTCAGATGCAGGGAAGACGAATGTGGAAGTCAACATCACCCCCCCCCCCAGTTTTATTGGAGGAATGATTCCCCCCCCCAGTTATCTCAGAATAATAACTTCTGTTTTAAGATGGGTCTACACTGCCAACTAATCCAGTTTCAAAATTAACTGCTTTGAAATGGGTTATATGAGTCTATACTGCCATATAATCCACTTCAATGCAGTGAATCTGCATTCAGAAACTGGATTATATGGCAGTGTAGATGAGGTCTAAGAAACATCAATTCTTAGATCATAATCCCATTCTCCACCTTTCAAGCTAAAGACTGTGTACTGTACTTGGAATTTTCTTTCAAGAATATATTACAGCTAACAACATTTGCACATTAGAAGATTAGAATATATCTCACAAAAAAGTTACAAATATGTTCATTTATTGTGTTATCAGAAATAATCGGGTAGGTGTTCTTTTGTGCTTTAATTTTCTTGTAACAGTGGGGAAAAGAACACCAAGGAGAGGAGGAATTCAACTGTTACTTCTGATCAGACCTGCTGGATTCTTGGGAATAAAATCCCAAGAAACCTCAATAGATTTAAATAATGCCCCTTCTATGACATGCTGTCATTATTTGTTGCTGTGAGGATCAATCCCAATTGTGTATAGATAGTTTCTATTTGTAGTATAGACCAAAAGGTGATCAGCCACATTTATGGCAATAGTCATTGGATGACTGATTTTGCTGGAAAGAGAGGACAGACCATCTTGTCTGTCATACTGCAATGGAAAATGGAGAAGAAGTTGAATCTTAAGGCTGTATAATAGATGTTGTATAATACCCTTGCTTGGTACTGGTATTAATCTATCATTCATCCACTCCAAGCTTCTTCCAATATGGAAGAAAGGTAACTTATGACAAATGTTTAAAAAGTGTAGCTAAAACATATCAGAATTGAAAGGTTAAACACAATGAAATAAGCTATTATATTGAAAAACTAATTTTAACACACTTAAAGTGTCATGACAATAAAAAAAAAAACATACAGAAGTCATCACCTACTAGTGAAAGGAGACCATAGGATAGTCTATCCTAGCCATCTGTGTAGGGAAATTCCCATCCTGGAGGCAGCCATTGAGAAAACGCATGCCCATGCCAGATATGGCTGCAACATAGGTGGGACTAAGGCCCCTTCTACATTGCCATATAATTCAGATTATCAGATTGGGCTATCCATGTTATCTGCTTTGATTATATGATTATATGAATCTAGATAGTCTAGACTGCCAGATAGTCCAGTTCAAAGATGATAATCTGGATTTTATATGGAAGTGTAGAAGGGGCCTAAGGCATAACTATATAAAATCCACATTGAACTTATTATCTGAGTCCATGGCAACATGAACTCAGATAATCCAGTTCAAAGCAAATATTGTAGATTATCTGCCTTGATATTCTAGGTTATATGGTTGTGTGGAAGACCCCTAAGAGAAAGCCCTTACCTGAGGATCTTAGAACTCAAGTAGGTTCATAAAAGGAAACATAGTATCTCAGACAGGCTTTGTGGATGAAAATTAGAATGCCGACACGAAGAGAGTCACTTGATGCTAATTCATCAGGGGGTTAGCTATTGAATCAATATAAGAATGCAAGGTTTTAAAAAAGTGTAAAAAAGTGAGGAGCTATTGGCGGGAGGTCCACATGGAAGTACAAAGAATTCTCCAGACCAAATTAGAATTTAAAGCTGAATATTACTTGTTGCATCTATTAGACTTCAAATTAGAACCCAACAAAGATGTGATATTATTTCACCTATCTGCAGCCGCCAGAACAGTGCTGGCAAATAAGTGGAAATCTAAAGAACTGCCAACAATCAACACCTGGCTGCTAAAAATTAGAGACTTTATGGAACTGGACTCACTAGCGAACATGATATATGATACTAGTAAGAAAAGAAGGATTGACTGGCACCCTTTAAGACTCTATTTAAAACAAAGAAAAAACATTGCCCTAGAGATCAGAGAAGGTGTTTAGTGAAACCAAAAAAGAGTAACAAATGCAAGCTTTCTTTATAACCTTGCGGAACCTTTGAGGAAGTTCATTAGGTGTATGAAACCTGTTGTATGATATGACTGTAATCACCCCCCTGATACTCCCAACACTACCTACCTTTTCCACTCCATTCCCCCCTACCCCCATTCCCACTCCAGTCCCATTCTATTCCCTCCCCTTATACTGTTGATGTATGGTATTTATTTCTGCTTTTCTGTTGTATTTGTATGTTATGAAAGGAAAAATCCACAATAAAGATTATAAAAAAAAGAATGCAAGATTTTTTAATTTGAATATTTTGTAAGCCAAACATGTGATATGTCAAGACTACTAATATTCCATCTTAAATATTGCAAGATTTTTTTAAAAAAAAAATAGGATCTCAGATATATAACATTTTGAAAACTGAATGTTCAGTATATTGGTTCACGGTCAAGAGATGAAAGAAAAACACATTAGACGGTGCTGAAAACTTGATCATGCCTTTGTTTTGTTCTGGAATGTTATATTTATGTAACATTTATGTCTGCCACTGTGTATTGTTAATTTGGTTGATGTAAACAAAAACAAATGATAGAAAAAGTTGAATTCTTTGCAGAATTAAGTTTTTTAAAATTAGATGTAATTAAAAAGTAATATTGTCTTGTGTACAACTTTGCATTCAAAAGGAAGTGTAGAACCACCACCACCACCATTGTTGCCATTACAGGCATCCTTCCAGACAGCAATTCCTGGCACTTTATGAAATGGGGAAAGTAGTTTTCACTGTGTGCCTTCAAATCCTTTCCAGTTTATGGCAACCTTAAAGTGAAGGTATTGCAGGTTTTCTTGGCAGGATTTGTTCAGAAGGGGTTTTTCATTTGCTTTCTTCTGAGGTTGATAAAGTGAGCAACGTGCCCAAGGTTGCATAGTGGGCTTCCATGGCTGAGAGGGCATTCAATCATGGTCTCCTTATTCTTAATTAAATGTTTAAATTTATCCACCACACTGGTTGTGAACATATTACAGGCCCGTAGCCAGGATTTTGTTTCCGGGGGGGGGGGGGGGGGGGGGGGGGGGAGGGGGGGGCTGAGTTTGTTTCGGGAGGGCTGAGTCTGAGTGAAAGAGAGTCTACCCTAGCAAACCTTTTGTATCGTTACCCCAAATACCCCCATGCATATGGGATATATTGAGCATGGTGATCAGATCATGATATGAATAAACATAACAGTTTAAATAATGTACCAGTAAGGCCTTTTCGCGAACCACCATGAGAATTTCGGGGGGGGGGGGCTGAACCCCCCCAACCCCCCTGCTACATGCCTGACATATTAGTAAAATAAGTCAAAGATGAAAGTGCACATCTATGAAAATGTACATCTGACTTTTCCATTTTTTCCAACCCCACACCATATTACGTCCATTTCTCTTGTGCTTTACTTCAGTGAGACAAGATCCAGCTTCCATTTTGCTACCTCCCCCTAATATCTATGTATATGTTTTTACAGTGTATTTATTTATTTATTTATTTATTTATTTACTGTATTTGTACACCACCCTTCTCAGCCCTCAGGTGACTCAGGTCGGTTTACAGTGGCTACGGATTTGATGCCCCAAAACACCATAAAACATTTAAAAGCATTAACACATAATATAAAACCATAACAAGAATATTAAAAACATAGATCATTTGCGTCTTCTAATAAAAACATTGTCCAATCAGTTGTTCCAGTTCCTATGTCTTTTACCTCGCATTTTCAAACGCTTGCTCAAACATCAAGTCTTGACTCTTTTTCGAAATGTCAATATGAGCACAAATAGAAACTTAGTCCATTCATCCTTAAACTTGAATTGCGTATCTCAGAGAAAATAAATAAATAAATGAATTAAATAATTTTCTCAGTTGTTTTAGACAGGTCTGGTAGTTAACGAGAGAGATCTGCATTAAAGTAATTGGGTTATTCAACAGTTCTCATTTTATTTTTCCTGCAGATAGTATACAAGGATGGAACATAACATGGACAACGTCACTTCCATGTCCACTTTTCTGCTGCAGGAATTTTCGGAGGTCCGAGAAATGCAGATCTTACACTTCTTTGTGTTCCTAGCACTATACCTGACAGCAATAACTGGGAATCTTCTCATCATCATGGCAATTATCCTCGATCACCACCTGCACACTCCCATGTACTTCTTCCTATTAAATTTGGCTGTGTTGGATCTTGCCACAATTTCAGTTACAGTGCCCAAATCAATGGCTATGTCTCTTACAAACAACAGGTCAATTTCTTATTTTGGTTGTGTTGCCCAGGTTTTCTTCCATTTCTTTTGTTTGTCATCAGATTTTTTTGTCCTGATTATAATGGCCCATGATCGCCATGTTGCAATCTGCAACCCACTCCACTATGAGAGAATTATGCACAGAGGAGCCTGTCTTAAAATGGTAGCCAGTGGGCTGACTTTTTGTCTCTTTTATTCTGCATTACACACTATAAGCACATTTGCAAACACTTTCTGTTCTAATATGGTCAATCAGTTCTTCTGTGAAGTCCCAGAGTTATTAAAGCTGTCTTGTACAAACATATACTTAGTTGAAGTTGGGCTTCTAATTATACGCTGCAGTATAGCACTAGGATGTTTTATATTCATCATCATAACATATCTCAATATCTTTGCTACAGTTTTAAAAATTCCTTCGGTACATGGCCAGAAAAAAGCTCTCTCCACATGCCTTCCCCACCTCGCTATTGTCACACTGTATGTAACAAGTGGAGTCCTTGCATATGTAAGGCCACCCAGCGATCTTTCTTCTGTACTGGATATAACTTTTGCTGTGATGTATGCCATCATTCCTCCCATGATGAATCCATTCATCTATAGCATGAGAAATAAGGAGATCAAGACTGCTCTGTGGAAATTGTTTGCTTTGTTACTTTCCTCTAAATTTATCTTTGAACATTTCAAGAATTAGTTCTGTAAGAGTACAGTGATTTGGAATTTTCTATATGACCTTTGCACGTTTCTTCTGTTGATATATACCTTCACCCTCTTTGGTTGCCTGAACATCTACAGTGAAATCCACATTTAGTAGATACATTGACAGATTATATTTGGTTCAGCCGAATCTTTGTAGAATCCTTGCTAGCTTCCTGACTTAATCACAACAACAAAAACAACAACAACAAGAACAACAGGGATTTTTCCTTTGCCTCCCCACCAAGGATTGAGAAGAGGAACAACAGTGTATTAAAATGCAACATATATTTTAAACCATCTGTTTAAAAGAACATATATATCCAATACATATTAAGACAAATGCATAATTAAAAATTCATAATTTAAGAATTATCTGAATAAGCCTCCCAGACGATATAGATTTTTGTTGCTGTTGCTAAATATCTGACAGCAATTACTTGATTGAAGTAATTGTCCCTCAGGGGATCTGACTTTCCAGTGAACTTATGGAAGGAGATGATTCTGTAGGTAATGTGGACCCAAATAAGGCTTTAAAGGTAATGACCAATACTTAGCATATTGTCCAGAAACTAACTGGCAGCCAATAGAATAATTTTAATATAGGTGTAATATGCTAATTCCTAGATGCACCAGTGAACAATTTGTCTGCCATGTTGTGAATTAATTGATGTTTCTGAACTTGATATGGCCCAATGTCCCATTGCAGAAATCATCCTTGAGCTTACCAGAGGATGCAGTAACATTTTTTAAATCTCCACCTCTAGGTATGTGTTGTTATTATTCAAAATGTTACAATAATGTGTTAGGAGTTAATGCAGCTATATTTGACAATTAAAGCAGGATTACACGGAAAAAGTTCTATTGGTCTTGCTGTAACATATAACAAAGGAGGCATGGGCATGGTGTTTCCAATATTTGTATTTCCTCACTCGTACAGTTTGCATATCTCAACTGATTGTGAATTGATGTATCATTATTGATTGACCTCCCTGCTCATCATCATCATCATCTTTATATTATATTAATTATACTGTTGAATTGGCAATCAGTAAAAATGTTGATGTTTTGAACCCTGTCTTAAGATGCATAAGCACCCAGGAATGAAATGTGCAACACAAAGAATATCTGCATTAAACTCTAGCTAGTTGACATCCAATACAAATCACTCTAATATTTTTAAATCAACATACATTCGAATCAAAGTTATTTTTCTTCCATATCCTTCATCTTCCTGAAAATCAAGTCAAAAGGCTTATGGCCATCTTAGGCTCTATCTACACTGCCTAAAATCCAGATTATCATATTTAAGTTGGATTTTATTATTCTACACTGCCATATAATCCAGTTCAAAGCGGTTCCAGTTGAGGATGATGAGATGGGGGGAAGCATGAGTGTGAGGCTTCCCCCCATGAATTCCAATGTTGCCCTGGCAGTGGCATGTGCTGGCACTTCCCTCCTTCAGCAAACAATGCACAAATATCTATAGTAACATAGAAACAAGAATGTATGTATGTGTATTTTATAAGACTCTCAAGAAAATAATATAAATCAAGGTAATATGTTCTCTAATGGAGTAAATTGTCTAGACTTTATAGCATTTATAGCATTTAACAGTAATGTTATCAGCACATTATAAGTAAATGTAGGTTATCTTATCAACATAGAGTAATGAATAGTAGACTAGAGATAATAAAGTCCATCCTTCCTGGAGTCAGATTTCAGTGCAAGAATTCAACAGTCTCTGTCTTTATCCTCAAAAGAATTCTTCTTTTAGCAATACAGTCTTTAAGGAGTACTTCTTATGCAGCAGAGTCTTCCTTAGGTAACACAATTTCACAATTTCAACAAGGTCTACCGGTATGTTCTCCTTGTTTCGAAAAATTATCTTCTTCAGGATGTTATCACATATATATAATGCACTAAATAAAGGAGTAAAAATAACATACACAATAGATACATGAAACTCCCCAATTCACATTTCTAGTGAAACATTCTATAATAACAATAAAGAAACATGCTACTCTACTTACACTCTCTTTACACTCTCTTCAATAGTACAGGCTCTGTTCTGGAGGAGTTCTATAACGAGCAATGAGTCATACCTAGGCTACCTCTTAAGTAGAACTACATTTCACAAGAAACAAGTGTATTCAATTTTATCATTTAGTCCTTGTGGAACCAGTGTTTGTAGTTTAAAGATTCAAAAAGATTCTCTTTGTAGAAGGAGTTTTTTTACATCTGCATTAGGTCTGGGTAATATTTTTTCTAAAGCGCAAAATTTAAAGCTATGGTGTGTATGAGCTTTTTCATTGAAATGTACATATAGTGAAGAGTCAGTGGACCCATTCCTTATGCGTGAACGATGTTCATTTATCCTGGTTTTAAGGGGTCTAGTAGTCATTCCAACATATAATAGCTTGCAGGAGCATTCTAATAGGTAAATTACATTATCAGTGGAACATGTTGTTAAATGTTGCAAGGTAATCTTGATGTTAAGTGTTGGATGAGAGTATATTTTAATCTTGAGTGATTGTTGACAACAGTTACAGTGTCCACAGCTAGTGTGACCCCTAGTGGTAAGATTGTGGGATGTAGTAGGAGAGTTATATTCAGAATGGATCAAAAGGTCCCTTAAATTTCTGGATCTTTTGTGTGCAATTATAGGTTTGTCTTTGCATCCAGGAATGTCCTGTAGTAAATGCCAATGTTTTGAAATAATTTTAGTGATTTTAGATGAATATTGTGTGAGTGTCAAAGGCCATATTATGCGGTTATTATGTTTTCTAGGGCGTTCCCGTAGTAACTCCCCTCTATTGATGGAGTTCGCCTTACTCATGGCTGTGTTGAGTATCTTATTAGGATATCCTCTCTTTCTGAGTTGTTTCTTCAGGATACCTGCTGTGGATTCAAAATCCTTTTGTGTGCTAGAATTACGTTTCAGTCTTAAAAACTGAGAAAATGGTAAATTAGATTTAAGAGAAAAGTGATGAAAGCTGGAAAAATGTAAAATAGAATTCTTATCTGTAGGTTTGCTATAATTTTTAACTAATAGTTTCTGGCCATTTTTGAAAACCATGATGTCCAAAAAGTTAATATTAGTAGGGCTACAGTGATGTGTAAATTTCATGTGTTTATGTAGTGTATTGATCCAGCTGCAAAATAGGTCCGCTACTGGCTGTGATCTCACTACTATAAAAATATCATCTAGATATCTTCCAAAATAAAGGATATCTGAAGAAAATGGATTTTTTCTCTTAAATCTAATTTACCATTTTCTCAGTTTTTAAGACTGAAACGTAATTCTAGCACACAAAAGGATTTTGAATCCACAGCAGGTATCCTGAAGAAACAACTCAGAAAGAGAGGATATCCTAATAAGATACTCAACACAGCCATGAGTAAGGCGAACTCCATCAATAGAGGGGAGTTACTACGGGAACGCCCTAGAAAACATAATAACCGCATAATATGGCCTTTGACACTCACACAATATTCATCTAAAATCACTAAAATTATTTCAAAACATTGGCATTTACTACAGGACATTCCTGGATGCAAAGACAAACCTATAATTGCACACAAAAGATCCAGAAATTTAAGGGACCTTTTGATAGGATGGACTTTATTATCTCTTCCCTCCTTCACCCATGGAACTGTGCTGGTGTCATCTGATGGGAGCTGGCCGGCTTGATGGGTGACCAGGGCTAAATTGGTGCATGCTCCCAGATTTAGCCCCATGTGAAGAGGTTGTTAGAAACTGTAACTCCCACATCTCAGTTTCCATGATCTAGTAATGTCTCTTGTTTGGTATATACCAGTATGTTCAAGGTTCCTGTCCCAATTCAAAGTGAAGATGATCACCTAAAAAGCCTACACAGTTTGGGTCCAGCCTATCTCCATGACCGTATCCCCCCCTCCCCATGAACATGCGTGAGCTCTAAGGAGACCACATCCCCTTATATGAATCTGCCCGGGCCCTGTGATCTTCAGGAAAGACCCTTCTCTTGGTCTCACCTTCATATCAAGCTCAGTTGGTGGAAATAAGAGAGAGGGCCTTCTTGGTGGCTGCTCCTCGACTCTGGGATTCCCTGATGTCCTTCCTACAGTAGGCTCAACCCTTTTTATCCAGGAAGGCTTTTAAAGATGAAGATTTTAAAGATTAATTCAGGAGGTGCTGTGGCTTTTAACTGTGAGTGTGCTTAGAATATGTGTGCCATCACACCCAGACGCTGTAAAGTTAAAACTAAGATGTGCCTCTCTCTTTATCTGGGTGAACTACTGGGGGTCTTTCTTTGAAGCAATAACTCAATACTTTCAGCAACTGATGCCAGTCAAGATATGAACATCAACAACATATTTATTTCCAAAGTCCTTGGCAGACTTGGCACAGCTTGATAAAGTTACAACACAAACAATCAATTTGGGAAATCATATTCTTTCTTTCCCCTTTCTTCAATTACTGAGGTAACCTTTCTCCAAAAGGTAGAAAAAATCCTGGGATCTTTCACCCTAACCCTGAGCTGCTATGGTTAGAAAGAACAGGCCTTTCCCTATCTAAGCTCAAGGTTAGCTTTGGAGATGAAGTAATGCTCAGTAGTACTCAATAACTATTTCTCTCTATTTCTCAATATCTATCTATAACTCAATCAGCTTCTCTATCTCATGTGCCTTTTTTAATAACTCAATTTCTTTCTCTGTCTAAATAACCCAATAACTCAATTCCTATTCTATCTATCTATCTATTTCAGTATCTCAGTATGTTCCATTACTCAACTGTACTCACAATGGGTTTTTCAGAGCTACCTGCCTGACCAATGTAAAGAACCCTTACCTTATTAGAAGCCAGGGTGCAGGGCCTGGAAAAGCCTATAGGTCTAGAAGGATAATTAATGGGCAAGGCGAAGCATCAGTGGCCATTTTAGAGTAGGGAACATGCCATCTTAGAGAGTTTCAGAGAGGGGGGCGTGTCTTGCATTAGACAGCAGGGAATGGCCAGGATTGGTGGAGAAAAAGGGGGCGGAGTTTAGGAGAAGCTGAGAGGGAAAAAGGAGCGTTTTAAGTTATAGAGAATTGGGTTTTGGGGTTTGAAGAGAAAGGGAGTTTTGGAGTGGAGTGGTGTTAGAGTTAGGAAAAAAGGCCTGAGGTTGCCAGGAGTTTGCTAGGAAAGTAGCTAAAGCAAACTTACAGCTAATAGGAGATTAGCTGGGTAGTAGCAGGATAGAATCAGGCTAGATTTATCTGGGCTACTGAAGAATCTCTGGCAGAGACACAGTCCTGTTGGGATTCTTGTTTTGTTTTGGAGGGAGAGAAGAAACTCTTTAGTAACAAAGATAGAACCATTCTTGTAACCATCACGCTTTTAAGACACAACTTTCTGTAACAGCCAAGATATTGAATGCATTTGTACCCATTCTAAATAATAAACTTTGTTGATTATTGCTCATCAAAACCTGACTCAAGTGTGCCTCAAAGTTTGAAGATTACAAAAGCAACTTTTGAAGAAACGAATGGTGACAGCATACTTTCAAAGTAAATAAGCCTTTTAATAATTGGTTAACCCTTGACAATTGGTGACCGTTCTATATATTGGTGGCAGCATTGATTAGTGATCTGAATAGATCTTTATAATTTGGTCTCCAGTGATTGAGATCAATTTGCTAGATTCTTTATAATTGGTGGCAGCGAGTGAGATCTGATTTATCCGATCGTTATAACCAACAGCATATCTGAGGCTCTTTTCTCTACTGAAGGAGGCAGGGGAGATTCCAAAATGGAGATCTCAACCCCAGGAAAAAGGGCGGACTCCAAACCCAAAGAGATACTTTCTAAACCAATAACTGCAGAGGGCCTGCAGGCTGGCTTTCCAGACTCTGATACTGTTTAACTTCCAGGGTGCTGCTGGGTCTGTAGCAACCCTGGGGAAATGCAAAGGAATGCTATCCCATGCAGCTAAAAGGCAATGTGAACCATGCTCCTGGAAGACGGAACATGTTTTAATGGTTTTAACTGTGAATTCTTAAATACTGTTTATATTCAGCTCTGATTTAATGTTTGCATATTTGTATATTTTAAATTGTATGCAAATGCTTAAATTAATGGAACAAAGAATATGGATGAGAGGAATTCCAATTATATTTTCTAATCAGATATACTGCACTCAAGAGAATAAGATCTTAAGAAACCAGAAATGTTTTTAACAGGGTTTTTTTTTTTGCCAGCCATGAGGCAATCATTTCCTGAGAATCTGGCTCTCATGTTGTTACTACCTATTATGTGTTTCATAAAAAGAGAGCTAGACAGACCAAGAAAATTGCAAAAGGAGGTGTTTGAATGAGATGATGAATGGACTCACATACTGTGATCACATCTTACCAAAATAGAAGCTGGAGGGGAAGTTGAATCTTACAGTACTGATGCTTCTTTCAAACTGGTCAAGCTTGGGTAAGGTTTATTTACTTTGGTGTACTGTAGAGTTATTTCTCATTTTTCCTTTTTCCTGTCAGCTCTCTCTCCTTCTCAAATTGCCCTCTTTATTTATGAAATAGTACCTCTTTCTTTCACTAGTTATGCAACAGAATAATGTAATATTTGCAACATCAAACAGATTGGAATCAACTCTCTACAAATGAAAATTTACTTTCAAATATTTCCTTTCTTACTGTCTAATTGCAACAGTTTTAGTCTGGAATCTGGAAGTCTCAATATGTTTTGTGCTATGTTAGCATCTTGTACCATTCTGATTCTGAGGCAGTATACAATAAAGGCTGTGGCTACAACTGAGGAAGGGGTGAAGTGATTTTATGTTGTGTTCCTCTGTATGTGCCATTAAGTTTCATGGCAACCGCAGGAATTTCCTAAGGTCTTCTGATGCAAGGAATATGAAAAGTGCTTTCCATTCTATGTAATATAAGTTACAACACCTGGGATTCATTGCCAATAGCCCATTAAAATACTTAGCTTAGCTTCCAAGATCAGATGGGATCTGGTGCCTTCAAGGTCATAGAATCCTAGAATGATAGAGTTGGAAGAGACCGCATCAACCCCCTGCTAAGGAGCAGGAAAATCACATTCAAAGCACCCTACACAGATGGCAATCCAGCCTCTGTTTAAAAGCCTCCAAAGAAGGAGTCTCCACCACATTCTGGGGCAGAGAGTTCCACTGCTGAACAGCTCTCACAGTTAGAAAGTTCTTCCTAATGTTCAGATGGAATTTCCTTTATACCATGTTATACCAGTGCTTAGAGGAGTTGATAGGCTGCCTTTGAGATATAGCATTGTAATATTATTCCAAAAAAAAATTAAAACCAGTCACAATATAATAATATATAATTTTTAAAAGAAGAAGGAAAACTGCTAAAAGTCCAGCACAGTATATAATAATTCCCCAAAAGAAGGGATTCTTAAAGGCCTGCCAGAATAAAAAGGAAAGACAGCAAAGGGGGTCCTGGGCTAACTTCTTTGAGAAGACTTCTTGAAATGTTGCTTGATTGTTATTTTCCTGAAATTCACATTTTAAAAAATGAAAACCTAGTTTCTAACTTAGACTTCAAACTGTAACTCGATGGTAGAACCCTTATATCATTAAAATATTTATATTAGATATATTTCTAATAAAGTTTAGGGTTGATATTTTAACATATTATGTATATACTTCTCAACTTTGGAGAGTGGTCTCACTTTGCTGTGAAGTTTGGCCTGGAATAATGTTCACTTTGTTACCTTTAGGTTTTTTATTCATCAGTTTCACAGCACACCCCTTTTTTTCTTGGTGTAATGGTTTTTAGGCCTGTCCCTGGGGTTAACTGGGGGTGCTGATTCAGAACATTGCAATAGAGAGACTGCATCAGCTCTATTTTCTTAGATATGGTTATCATGATTTTCTATGGGTGAGTAGATGGAGACTGGTAAAATCATAAAGTCATTGAATTGAAGGAGACCACAGTCCAACTCCCTGCCATGCAGGAAAAGCACAACCAAACCTCCTGACATGTGGCCATGTAACCTGTTTAAAACTCTCCAAAAAAGGAGCTTCCACCACATTCCGAGGCAGAGAGTTCCACTATTGAACAGCTCTCATGGGCAGGAAGTTCTTCCTCATGTTCAGGTGAAATCTCCTTTACTATCATTTGAACCCATTGCTTTAAGTTCTAATCTCCAGAGCAGCAGAAAACAAGCCTGCTTCCTCTTCCTTATTATGGCATGTCTTCTGTATCTCAAAAACTAGAGGTGATAGGGAAAATTTTGTGCCATTTTTGGAATCTGCAGGTCAAATATACCCAGAAACAGAAACCAGCATTTCAGGCACCAAAATATGTTTTGTTTAATGTTATCAATATTTGATTAAAAGAGCAATATTTGATTATTAATGTTAATGTTAATAATGAGACATGTCTGAAGAAAGAAAACCAGTTGCAATTGTTTGTCCATAAATTACATTAGGAAAAGGGAGGGGGCAGCTTTCACTGTTAAATAATCTAAATCCTTTCAAAATTGATCAGGATTAACCAATTTTAGTAAGTAAGACTGAATTAGTAAGACTTCTCTTCTTCTCCCTTTCACAGGTAGTTTGCAAGGACTAAAGACATGAGCAATCTCACTTCCATGCCAACTCTTCTCCTGCTCCAATTCTCAGACATCCGAGCGCTACAGATTTTTCAATTTTTCATTTTCCTAGCTTTTTACCTAATGGCAGTAATAGGCAATCTTCTCATTATCATTGCAGTTGTCTTTGATCACCACTTACATACTCCTATGTACTTCTTTTTATTCAATTTGGCCGTGATTGACCTTGGAACAATTTCAGTGATTGTGCCAAAGTCTATGGCCATGTCTCTCAAGGATGATAGGTCAATTTCTAACTATGGGTGTGCTGCTCAAGTTTTCTTTTATTTATTTTTTGCATCACTGGATCTAGTTGTGCTAACTGTAATGGCACATGATCGTAATGTTGCAATCTGCAACCCACTCCATTATGAGAGAATCATGCACAAGGGAGCCTGCCTTCAGATGGTAGCCATTGGGTGGGCTACTAGTCTTTTGTATGCTACTTTACACACCGGTGGCACTTTTGCAATCACCTTCTGTTCTAATATGATCAACCAGTTTTTCTGTGAAATCCCCCAGTTACTAAAACTCTCCTGTTCTCGTATTTATCTAGTGGAAGTTGGGCTTCTTGTTATAAGTTGTGGTATAACAGTAGGATGCTTTATTTTTATTACTGTGACATATGTTCAAGTCTTTACCATGGTGCTTCGAATTCCTTCAGTTCACAGTCAGAAAAAAGCACTTTCAACTTGCCTTCCTCATCTCACTGTTGTCTCCATGTTGGTTTTCTGTGGCCTCTTTGCCTATGCAAAGCCTCCCACTGGTACCTCTTCTAAACTTGATATTGCTTTTGCTGTGATATATACTATACTTCCTCCCATGCTGAATCCATTTGTTTACAGCATGAGAAACAAAGAGATCAAGACGGCTCTGTGGAAACTGTTAAATTGTATGATATCATCTAAAAGCATATTAAAAATGATTCTATAAGAAAATATTTTTTTATAGTTTTGTCTATGAATTATTGCTTAAACTGATGCTAAAGCCACTTTGGAATATAGCACACAGTCGCTATTTTTTCATCTATATTTCTTTTCTCACTACGAATTTTTATTTGGATCATTTTCCTGCTGCATGGGTTAGTTGTAAGCACTATCACTCACATTACTTGAGACAGAAAATATTTTGGGGTGTTTCCAGATTCTTAAAAAAAACCTTACATTTCATAGATTATGATCAATCAGAATTGTGTTTATAATGGTGGAACAATCTTGTTCTTTGCTAGCTCAGGCTAAATCCAAAGTAGAGAGGCGGTTCTGGAACAATTGTTTCTTTTGCTGTCTACAGAGTCAGCATGGTGTAATGGTTTGAGTATTGGTTTATGGCATTGGTTCTCAGCTTGTGGGTCCCCAGATGTTTTGACCTTCAGCTCCCAGAAATCCTAACAGCTGGTAAACTGGCTGGGATTTCTGGGAGTTGTAGGCCAAAACACCTGGGAACACACAGGTTGAGAACTACTGGGTTATAGGGTCAGGATTCAATTTTCTGTTCAACCATAAGATGCCACTAGGTGTCTTTGGATGAGTTAAACACTCTCAGCCCCTGTCTAAATTAGTCTAAATTAGTCCCCTCCTTTCTTTCTTTTTTGTGTAGAATATAATGTAATAGATTAACATTTTAAAGATGGAATTACCACATTGGAATTTTCTTTTCTTCCGGGGCTTTTTTTCAAAAGGTTCCCAGTTTTTCTTGAATATCGAAGAGTATTTTATTATTTATTTATTTAAAGCATTTATACCCTGTCCTTCTCACGCACACCCCCCCCCCCCCCCCGGGTGTAGACAGCAAAAGACTCATGGCAGCTTAGAGAAGGCAACCATTAGATGCCAAACATAGTACTAACAATAATTAAACAATTAAAACAATTTTAAATACACCAAAATTTAGAAAATATTAAAATCGCCAATTTAAAATCATGATCCAGGATCAGTCCATTGCCGATTACATAAGTCATTCACATTCCAAAGCTGTATTTATTGTTCAAAGGCTTGACCCCAAAGCCAGGTCTTAAGTTTTCTTCAGAATACCAGGAGGGAGGGGGCAGATCTGATATCATTTGGGAAGGAGTTCCACAGCTGAGGAGCCACCACTGAGAAGGCCCTGTCTCTCGTCCCCACCAGTCATGCTTGCGAGGGAGGTGGGATTGAGAACAGTGCCTCTCCAGATGATCTTAAGGTCCTAGATGGTTTGTAAAGGGAGATACGTTTGGACAGGTAAACTGGGCCAGAACAATTTAGGGCTTTATAGACTAAAGCTAGACTTTGAATTGTGCTCGGAAGCAAATTTTTTATCTGAAGATATCTTGTCAAAATGTCAACTTCCGCTATTTTAGCTCCTTTTACTATCCATTCTTAGGCATTTTTATCCCCAGCATTTTATTTTCAGGTTTCACATCAATTGCCATGGCTATAGAATTCTGCAATGTATAATTTATTTTGAGATATTTACATTTTCCTGTCAAAAATATGAAAAATGTGCAGAAATTCTTTTGGGCATGTAAAAAAAAAAACAAAGCCTCACAATCTGACATGAAAGAAGATTAGGATGAGAATGTTGGTGTGAGATTTCACTAGTATGTACTGTTAGTGTGGATATCTTAATTTCTGTAGCTTCGCTATTCTGCTAAAGGTGAAAATAAATTCTCAAAATGACAAAAGCATATGAGTCCTGAGAGATCAGGATCAAAGTTCAGGAGACCTCTGGGATGTCCAAGTGAGAGCTACAATCTGGGTTTTCCCCTCATTGTCTAAGATGCTTTATATTTTCAACATGAACATTGTATGCAGCCATGATGACCAATAGTTGATCATAGGCTTTTCCACCAAAAGTCCATTGTTTCCTGTTATCTACGCTAAAATCCATCAGGTGGTCCTACGGGTTTTATTGAACTGCAGTTCTCATTGGTCCCAACAAATACAATCAATGGTCCAAGTTGAGAGGTACTGTGTAATGGACTCGTACCTTTGCTGGCTAGACTGCAGCCTTCAAAGTCAGTAAGACGGCCTCCATGTTAGTGGGGGAATACAATGAGAGTCAGATCAGCAGAGGGGAGGAGCTTAGCTATCCCAGGATTGGCTAGGACAGATGGGAGGAGCTGTAGCTGTGAGTGTAAAAAAGGCAGGCAGCTTCTGACAGAGAGAGAGATTGGATTTTTGATCTGAAGGGAGTGGGTGGATTTCGAGTGAGCTGAAGTTTTCCTGAGGGAGAGTGTTTGAAGGCAGGTGTGGCTATAGAGAGTGGCCTGTAGGGTCGATAGCCGCCTGTGAACTGGTGTGGGTGGTAACACACTAGTTGTTTTACTCTCTAAGGGACAGGGTATTCTAGGGAAGCTAGATACTCTGAGAGGACAGACAGGATCGGTCTGTCAGAGGGAATTTGCTCACGTTTAAGAACAGATACCCAGTTGGGGAGTCCAGTAAGCTTGTTAGGACTCAGAAACCATTTGAGAAGATTGTGCTGTGATAACCATATACGCTTGTGTAACTCTAAGAAGAATTTAGTTGTTTGTTCCAGTATATAAATAAACTTTGTTCTAGTTCAACTTTCAATAGAGTCTCCACATTGATTCATTCCATTAGGTCTGTTCCAGTAATTTCTAACTTCTTTTTACCTCAGACACTTTAAAGGGTATTAAAGGAGGGGCTGGGGAACAACAAGCTTTACCTCAGGCATAACATCAAGATAAATTCTCAAATCTATTTGAGTGGTGGCAGTAATTCTACCAATACACATTCACGTTTCCTCAACACATTTCGAGCTTTGTGACAGGATTGTGTTGGTGTTCAGTTGGAGCCTTAGAAAATAAAATCCTTTACTCTGATCCTTCAAATTGGTGGCCAGCTGTGAGCAATATAACAGCTGAGGGAACGTCTGGGTGTGTGTGCTAGGGAATATATTAGTTAAGTATTATTCCCCTGGGCCCTGGCTTCGTTACATTTGGTGGCAGCAGTGGGATGGAAAAGGAAGGTTCCCTCCTGTCACACATGCATTAAGGGACCCCTCGTTCCTTAACCCTCGTTACATACTGTAAATTCCAGCTATATCAAAGTGGTCACATTTTCCCCCTTCCTAGTTTATTTCCTGTGCAACCCTCAGAAGTAACATATCATAGCATTAAGACATACGACATTGTACATATTTCTTGACCCATGTCAGAAATGACATCTTGAACACAGGAATTCTTAGGATAACAATGGAGTGTTGGTAGATGGTCACACAAAAAAGTATTCTTCTAATACATATATCATGCCAAAGCTTTATGTTAGTGGTTGATCAGAGACTCAAAAGGAGTGTAATGATTCTTACCTAGTAGGTCAGAATAGAAGCCTGGGAAGACTGTAGGGCAAACCTCCATTTTTGAGAGTGTCTGCCAGTAAAGCAGCCATCTTGAGGATGGATAGTTAGAAGATGGGAGGAGTTGGAGGTCTCCTGGGATTGGCTAGAGCTGAGGAGGAGGAGCCAAGTCTTGGGAGGGAAAAGATTTCAGCTTCAGAGAGAGAGAAGAGATTTGGGAACTGGAGGGTGAAGAAGTGGTTTTTGAGACTGGGTATTTCTGAGAGAGAGAGAGTGTATGTCAGGGAGGGCTGATTAGCTGACAAGAAAGGTCAGGCAGCTAAGATGAAATCTTCTGAAATAGAGCACAGCAGCAAACAAAACAAAACAAAAACAAAAAAACCCCACAAGAGTAGCACCGGGATTGTGGCGCAGCTGGCTGAGTGTCAGCTGCATTAAGATCACTCTGACCAAAAGGTCATGAGTTCGAAGCCAGCCCGGGCTGGAGTGGGTGTCCAGCCATTGTGTAGCCCGTTGTCGACCTTTGCAACCCGAAAAACAGTTGCATCTGTCAAGTAGGAAAATAAGGGACCACCTTGTGTGGGAGGCTAAATTTAACTAATTTATGAGGCCATAAAGAAAAAAGACTCCGGGGAATGTGGAATGCGGAAGAACTTCATTGGTGTCGTTGATGGACGATGAAAAGCAGCAGCTCCCCTGGCGGCCAGAAAAAAAGTTAAATAGCCTCGGTGTATTTGTGTGTTAAATGTTGTTTGTCAAACTGGCATTGAATGTTTGCCATATATGTGTTTACTGTAATCCGCCCTGAGTCCCCTGCGGGGTGAGAAGGGCGGAATATAAGAACTGTAAATAAATAAATAAATAAATAAATAAACTCTTCCCTGTACCATCCAAAGCTTCACACACACTTAAAATGTACCTGTTCCAGCTTACATACAAATTTAACTTAAGAACAAATCTACAAAATCCATCTTGTTCATAACTTGAGGATTGCCTGTATTTCTCCCCCAGCCCCACACATATATGCATAATCTTACTTCCTTAAACTTATTGCTTCCCCTTGTACCCCAGCAATTTTTCCATTATTAAAAATGTAGTTTCAGATAACTGCAGTTCCCAGTACAGTGCATAGGAGGAGCACATGAGTACAAGCTACCATTACTACTGATTTGTTTTGTTGTTTTTTTTTATTAGCTAAATCAGCGCAATCACCTGATTCTGGAAACCAGCACTTTCTCCCCTAAGGTGCTGGGGACTGGTAGAACATTTTCTCCATTGGTTACAATTGTTTCTCTGTTTCCTGGAAAATGTCGATAGTTAAGGAACTGGCATTGGTTCATGAATCATCATTTTGAATAACACTGAACTAAGGCATTGTATTCTAATGGTGAATAAAAATTAGTCAATTTTATTTATTAAGTATTAGCTGAGAAACATAATATTTGCTGGCTATGGAATCCTGGGATTTTTAGTTTGTTGAGATACCAGCAATCTTTGGCAGCGAAGGCTAAAGACCATAAAACCATAACTCCTGTGATTTTATACCATACAGTGGTTAAAGCGGTATCAAGAGATTACTTCAACAGTGTAGATGCCTAAAAGAGAACCTAAAAGAAGCACCAATTCCCCTAAGGGGACAACCACCACTATGATTGTCCTATCCAGACATTTTTAAAAGTCTGGAAGCAGCAACATAGGAATATCGAGAGGGTCAGTGCTTTTTTTTGGTTCCCCGGGACAGACTAATCTCTTGCTTTTACTACTCATAGAAATATTAGGACCTTATCACATTGGCATATGGATTCATCACGCATCATGGTGAATCCATGGGCTCCCTGAGGGGTGTGTGGAGAGCCTATTGCCCTACTCAACAGCTGGCTCCAATCCATGGGGGGAAGTGTCCACCACTCCACTTTCCCTTCCCCATTGTTTCAAAGGCAACCTGGCTGGAAGTAGATATATATTGTGTAATAGGCTCCGTGGTGAAAGAGGAGAGCAAGTGGCATACAATGGAAAAAGTAGCATATGATGAAGTCATAATATACCAACCAAGATTCTTTGTGGAGGCAAAATGGGTGAAACTTCCATCTTTCAAGCCACCTTGGGCCCCATGTCAACAGAAAAGTGGAATATGAATTAGTTACAGGATGCAGAAATTGCTCAAAGAAGCACTTATTTGTGAATTGATACTATTTTTATGTGGAAGGGGTCCTCTAGTTTTAACTCTTGCATGTCAACCCCCCCCCCCAATGATTTTTATTGTATTGATATGTTTTACCTAATTTTGTTTTCTGGGAGAAAGGCAGCATATAAATGCAATGAATCTTTTGCAACAAGGATAATTTTGTAGTGATGAACTATTCTAAATTATCTTACTATATGGTCCTACAAACAGCTAATCTGCCTTGCATATGATGCCATGTACTGGAAGAAGAGAAGAAAAGCATGATACTATTTGATCATACAAATTTGAACACCATTCCATTGACCATGTGATCAGGTACTGTACTTTCTTTTCTTAGGGGCATTGAAATACAAATACAAATACTAATAATGTCTCTGAGGATTTTTGTCACCGAAATTTCCTGGGCTCTCTGGGCTGTTATCTTCAATAATATGTACAGAGCAGGCAAGCATAAAATGCCCTTTTTGAAAGAAGCACATATACTATTAATCCATACTCTTTTTACAGGCAAAGACATGAAGTAGAAGAATGTTCATTGTATGACACATGACTTTATAAATGAAGCCTCAGCTAAGATATCAAAGAATAAGAATGAGAATGCAACAGTAAGAAGTAAACCTCAATTTCCATATCCTTCCTCTCTTCCAGGCCTCTTCTATAATGTCATTAGGTAAGAAAAATATCAAAATAGTCCAAAATGCTTTGAATGGCTTAATGTATTTGATATTGTTATCACTGTTGTATGCCTTCAAGTCGTTTCCAAACCATGAAAATTCTAATGTGAATGTATCACAGGATTTCTTTTGACAAGATTTGTTAAGAGATGGTCTGCTATTGCCTTCAATAATGTAACACTGTTCTCACTCTCTTCCACCAAATCTACCTGTAATATTGAGAAAACACTGGCATGGGGTAATGAATGCAAAGCTTTCTGACTACTTGGAATACGGTATAAAATGTTAAATATTGTAACTATTCAGATGAACTATTTGGACCAATTATGCTATTAGTTAGTCTTTGACTATTTTTAATTGGGCTGTCTCTGTCTTCATATGGGCAACTAACATTCATACAGAGTAAAATATTGTCAAAGAACAGTATAGTAACTGGCTCAATCTATGCTACTTTCTGTATAGTGTGGAGCCCAGTGAGACTAGTTCTATGGTAAAGATGCATTATATTGAGGCCTATTGAAATGGCCCAGTTTAGGATTGCACTGCAGCTGTGTGGATAAAGTCAGTGTGCACCAGCATTCCCACCTATTCTGCCTGTCTCCCCTCTATCTGCCTTTCTCTTTCTTGTATCTCTCACAAACCCTCATGTAAAGCTTTGTAACTAATGCACACTAGCATGTTGTCTTTTCCCGAACCTCACATTCTATATTTTATTAACTGTAGTGAGAGAGAATCATTGTTGTACTGCTTATGTAGGATGGTCTTTGGAATAACTCCATTGCCTTGAATGGAAAATTGTCACCCTGCTTGCTTCAAGAGTTGGAATGCTCATTTGCCACCCATTGGCAGAAACTGTAGTCTTTGCATGTAACCAGACATGGAAAAAATTCCAACCTTCCTTTTGTCTTTTAAAAATGTCTAAATGTTTGGAAAGCTTTTCCTATCTGCATCCACCTGTCAAAGGAAGAGTACCAACCACCATGGTGCTGATTTGCTGTGGACACTTTCATAGCCAAGAGAAGTCTAGTGTTGTTTTTGGTATTCATAGGAATCTGCCGCAACCAGACCAGTATCACTTTAGATTACAAATGTCCACGCCTGGCTGACTGCAAATATGTAATGTGGAGAGGGTGGATCCTTATGAATCTTCTGACAACCGGAATTTCATTTGGGGCTTGAATGTCTGGTGGGAGTTCAAACAAGAATTCTCCTCTACTACTGAAATAAATCTGAGAAAAAGAAGAATTCAGTGGGTTTATAGTGCTTGCCTCTTTTTGGATAGGAATATAACATTGTTGGCTATGCCAATAGACAGAGTGAGATTGCTCTTTGAGAAAACTGATTCCAATGGCCATGGATGGGGAATAACCTGTTCAGTTTTTAAATCATTGTGATATCATTGTAATTATTAGAGTTGGGGTAGAGATACCGGTGAAGCATTCCTGGGATGTGCTCTGAAATGACTGCAACAGCTTCTTTTGGCAATCTTTGATGAAGGAATGTAAAGAGCTTTCACACATTTTCTTGGCCATGGGGAAAAAAAGGTGTCACAAATTGTCTCAATTTGTTAAAAGAGTGTTTGCATTTTTGATGGGACTATTATTATTACTTGCATTTCAGGAAAACATTATGAAAAAATTGGTAAGATCCTCCACCATTGGATTTAAATATGCATGCATCTGCATGGCATAAATATGCCGATATGCCCAAATTTGAATACTGGTGGGGTTGGGTGGGTGGGGATTGATTTTGTCATTTGGGAGTTGTAGTTGCTGGGATTTATAGTTAACCTACAATCAAAGAGAATTCTGAACTCCTTTAATGAACCAGTCTTGGCACAGAGAACTCCTATGACCGACAGAAAATATTGGAAGGGTTTGGTGGTCATTCACTTTGAGTTTTGGAGTTGTAGTTCACATACATCCAGGAAGCAGGAAGAGAGCTTTTGGTGGGAGGATTTGCCGTCTGTTTCCAAAAAGGCAGAGGACAGGCAGAGAGATATTCAGTCTTCTCTTTTAAAGAGGTTCCTAAGACCTCTTCCTAATACCATCAGAAATATGTTATCTGATGGTCTTTGTGACCTCTCTGAGATCCCCTCTCATGACCCCTCCAGGGGTCTCGACCCCCAGGTTGAGAAATACCAATCTAGATAGTGTTCCTACTGAATGTTTTCTGAAACCCTGTAGACTGGGGCACTGGGAAATGATGTCTCCTCCACATGGGTCCTGCCACAACTGTTTACCTCAATGTGCCTTTCCCCATGATGTGAATAGTGCTGAAATTGTCATTTTCTAGCACTCCAGTTTGCAGTGTCTGAAACTCATGGTTGAAGTGTTGCTGAAAGGTTTTGGGGACACATTCCATCATCAATGACTGTAACAGTGAATTCCTAAAATTATGAGAGAACTCTGGTTATGATCTTGGAACTGTTGAAAAGATGGCAAAATAAAAATGGTATAAACAATGAACAATATGTATTATTCCAAAAAATCTTATTCTAATTTTGCTTTTGTTTCCCTCTACAGAAGTGCAGGAAAGAACCATAGAAGGAAATGAGAAATGCAAGCTCCATTACAATGTTTCTTCTTCTGGGTTTTTCAGACACCCAGGAACAAAATATTATGTACTTCATCCTTCTTTTATTGATTTATTTGGCAGTCTTGATGGCAAATTTTCTAATAATGTTAGCTGTTTTCCTGGACCACCAGCTTCATACTCCCATGTACTTTTTCTTGGTAAATTTATCTGTTGTGGACCTCGGTTCTATTTCTGTCACCATTCCCAAAGCCATGATTAATTCTCTCTTGAACACTAGAGATATTTCATATTCTGGCTGTGTTGTACAAGTATTTTCTTTGTTTTTCTTTTTGATATCTGATTTGTTCCTCCTCACAGGCATGGCGTATGATAGATATGTTGCCATCTGTGACCCACTGCACTATGAAACAACGATGAGCAGAAAAGTTTGCATTCAATTGGCAACCAGTGCATGGATAGCTGGTCTTCTTTATTCAGCTTTACACACTAGTAGCACTTTTGCCATCACATTTTGCTCCAACATCATCAATCAGTTCTTTTGTGAAATCCCACAACTACTGAAAATTTCCTGTGATGATATGTATCTCATTGAAGTTGGAGTCATTGTTTTTAGTATATTTATAGTTTTCCCTTGTTTTGGTTTTATTATTGTTTCATATGTGCACATTTTCAAGACAGTGCTAAGAATCCCCACCACTCATGGACGAAGCAAGGCCTTCTCAACATGCCTGCCTCATCTTATTGTTGTTTCCTTGTTTATTAGTACTGGAAGCATTGCCTATCTGAAGCCTATTTCTGGATCTCCTTCAGAGTTGGATGTGATTGTGACTGTATTATACTCTGTTGTGCCTCCTTTGATGAATCCAATTATTTACACTATGAGGAACCGGGACATCAAAACAGCACTTTGGAGAATGTTTGCATGTGGGATTTCTTCTTGGTATCAAGGAAGTTCCTTTATTTTTACTTTCATGTCTAGCCTTCTTAGGCCTATTTTTAAAATACATAGTTGATTTTCATACTGAAGAGAGAAGTTTGGACACCTTTTAAGAAATTTAAAGCAAACAAAAAAAATCTTATATGCTTTAAGTTTTAATAAAATACACTTGATATTGTATTAAATTGTGATAAAATTGAATCCAGAATTTAATCTTTCTAAAGAATGCCCATTAAAGCATATGGGACTCAAGTCACAACTAACTTCAATCCCATTTGTTTTAATTAGTTTAACATAATGGCACCAGATCTGTCTGATCTTGGACACTAAGCAGGATCAGCATTGCTTAATACCTGAGTGGGAGACTGCTAAAGAATATCAGTGCTTGTCTGGTAGTTTTGCCAGTTCCATCCTTTGAAATATATCAGAGTACTTATTGCATAAGAAAATCCTATGTGTGGGGTTGTCAAAAGTCAACAGGTATTATGAATGTGCACACACACAATTAGCAGAATTAGCTATCTGAGGTTGGATCTACACTGCCATATAATCCAAATGCAGATCACCTGCATTGAATTGGATTATATGAGTCTACCCAGTTCTATGCATTTAATCTGCATTCTGAAACTGGATTATATGGCAATGTAGATCCAGCCTTGATTCAGAACATAAGGGCTGTAATAGATATGATCGAGCAGCTTTATAGAGAGTATAGAGAGCACCAGAAATGAAGGCTTAAGGTAAAACTTTAGCTTCATATGACTGTCAGAAATCTATAACCATCCTTGTGACCCATGACTAACCTAAAACATTGTATTGCTTGTGATAAAAAAATAAAATGAAGGTTTTTTTCCCGTTCCACGTAGAAATGCCAACTGGACTGGTCATTGTATATTTCTTTAATACTGGTGATGGGGTAGGCTTTTCCCACTGTTTAGCTAAAGCAGTAGGTCAGCTGTGTTGAAATGAAAGTCAGACTTTATGGCACAAGTCACTCCTTGAACATCTTTCTGTTAAATTTAAGTTTATCTACACTGACCTCTCCAGAGGTCTCCTGGTGCATGGAAATGGCATGTTAGGCAGGGGTAAAGGGGTGATTTGCCACCCCACCTCCTGGCACATCATTTCTATGTGCCAGGAGGCCTCCAGAGAGGCATCATGGTAGCCCAGTAATTTTTCTTTTAATTTTATTTATTTATTTATTTATTTATTTACTTTGCTTATATACCACTGTATCTCAAGCCCGAAGCGACTCACAGCGGTTCACAAACAGTAAAAACAGTAGAAACAGCAGTGGTTCCATACAACATATAACAATTGACTTAACACATTATCCATAAATTACCAATAAGCAATTACAATGCACAATTATTACAAAAAACAACCATACCCAATCTTATCATCCAAGCGTAGTCCAGGTTCGTCGTCCATTGTTCCATTCCTATGTTCCATTACCAGATTGCACTAAATTACTCAAACGCCTGCACAAACATCCAGGTCTTCACCTTTTTGCGGAATACCATTAGAGATGGTGCTAGTCTAATGTCCGTAGGAAGGGAGTTCCACAGCCGAGGAGCCACCACCGAGAAGGCCCTATCTCTCGTCCCCGCCAGCCGAGCTTGAGAAGCAGGCGGGATCGAGAGCAGGGTCTCCCCGGAAGATCTCAAAGTCCTGGTGGGTTCATAGGCAGAGATGCGGTCAGATAGGTACCTTGGGCCGGAACCGTTTAGGGCTTTAAAGGCCAACGCCAGCACTTTGAATTCAGCCCGGTAGCAGATCGGTAGCCAGTGGAGTTGGCGCAACAGGGGGGTTGTATGCTCCCTGCGCTCCGCTCCTGTTAAAATCATGGCTGCCGAGCATTGGACTAGTTGGAGCTTCCGAGCTGTCTTCAAAGGCAACCCCACATAGAGAGCGTTGCAGTAGTCTAAACGGGATGTAACCAGAGCGTGGACTACCGTGGCCAAGTCAGACTTCCCAAGGTACGGGCTTGGTTTTTTGGGAAGGGGCTTGGTGAGGGGGTGAGTGCCTCCTCAGTTCTCTGGGCTCATGGGGCCCAAAGAACAAAGATGGGCTGTGAGGACTGACCCCTGGGTAGTTGCAAAACTACCCAGGAGTCAGTCCCCATTGGACCCATATCCTATTAGATCTGGGCCTTTCAGGAAGGCCCAGATCTAATGGAGTATCTAATTAATGCATGGGAAAGCAGGTTTTCCTGTTTGTTCCAAATTATTCCTCTTTCACTGGAGGCTTTGTTTGGACACCTCTGGAAAAAGTCTGATAGGGCCTGCATTTTGGGCCCTGTCTGGAAGGGCCCTGAGCCCCTGTCACCCCTGTTGATGGACTGCAGCAGTGAGAGCTCCTAACTGATGTGAGTGCCTTATTGATATCAGCAAAGGTGTCTCTGTAGCCAAACTACCTGTTGGGTCCTATTGCACTCCAAAAATTTAAATAGGCACAATTGTAAACATACATTTTTGTTTATAGTACTTTGACAGCTGTTCAAAACAAATGGACTATGTCGTCCTGACTTCTGATTGATCCAAAATGGTGCCAGCTAGGATGTCTGTCCTCATCTTTGATTGGCTCCAGTCATGGTGGGAAATTTCATAAACTGTAATTGGTGTATTTGAAGATGTGTGTCTGTTTATTTATTTGCCCAGGAGAAGGGTGTGAATGGAAAGGAATGTGTTGAGGCAAGAGATAATGGGTTTTTATATATCTGCATCAGTCAATACAATGAGTGCCGATCAGATATAGAGATGGTCAGCATGCTGGTGAATCAATGGAGACCCCAGGGAGGGGGCCTGATTCAAGAGTCCACAAAGAATCCCTATAACTTTTCCTGAAGCCCATTATGGACCTCTTCACAGGGCCCAAAGGGGTTGTGCTGTTTCACTAGCTTCCGTCATCACATGGAGTGTGGGAGAGGGTACTTTGGTACTCTTTCCCTCCCCTCCATCAGATGGCAGAAATGGCAGCAAAGCATGGCAACGCGTGTTGTCCCTCTGCTCTTTCTACCATCTCACGGGCTTTTTGGCCCCATCAAAGCTACCCAAAACACACTTATTTTCCCGTAGTTGGAAGGAAGCACTTTTTCATGCTTCCCCTCAACTCTGGGAGGAAAAGTGGGAGGGGTCTCCTTTGCTGCACTTAAAGACAGCAAAACAAGGTTAAAAAGCCCAGCGTGAAGAGGTTCTATGTGTTCTGTATGTCTTCTCAGGGTGAAAGAATTATGCTAGCTATTGTGTAATCATACCCTGAGGTCCTGGTTGTGTGTGGTGTTTATGCAACATTCTAGAGAAGTTCAATAAAGGGTGACTTGAAATGGTCAACATGGGCTCCTTATTAGTCCCTAAGGTGCTATGGACCTTGTGTTCATTCATTTGAGATGTGTTTTCTGATAACCACTGTATGCCCTTTAGACATGGTATGAAGAATGTACTGAAGGCAGACATTAAGGAAAGAAAACAGAGGAAAAGAAAGCAGAGCTCCATTCCCTTGGGCATTCTGGCAGTTGTCATTCAAAAAAATTAACATTTCCAAGCTCTGTACACTATCTCTCTCTCCTTCACATTAATCTAGTTGTGTAAGTAACACACTGAGTAATGCTTCAGACAACTCTATTTTGTATGATTTACTCAGAATGTTATCTTAGTTCCGGACATTGGTGAATATTCCTCATCTCCACATTCTTACCCAGAAATGTGCATTTTGCCTCACTATGATAACACACAAATATCAGTTAAAGGTGAAAACTGAAGTCATTCATGAATGATTGTGACAAATTGAAGGATGTGTGCACCTGTGTTACATGTCAAATTTTCTTTCCCAAAATAAAGCATAGATTTCATCATTATTTTAAAGTTCAGAATTCTTTGCTATCCTAATACAAAGACAATTCTCAGAGGATCAATTAAGTTGAGTTTATACATGAATTCACAAAGCTCAGGAAATCTGTGCTGATAATTAGATCTCATTATATTGATTGGAAGGCATGATAGTCCCAGGAACATTAATCTATTTATGTTTCTCTTCAGAGAAATAAAGAAAGTGTTGCATAGATAGAAATATCTCTTTTAAAATAAATGTAATGGTTAAAATTAATTTTTGAGATGTAGAATCCTCTGTAGATTAGAAGTTCAATTTAGGGTAAAGTTTACTCTACTGTGCTCATCTTATTCCAATCCTGAAAGTCTTCCCCGAGATATATATTAGAAAAAGTGGCAAATAATAATTTTACTGAGTTTTTCCTGAGGAGACCAATTAAAACTGCTTATTATCTACCAGTGATTCACTGTGTTTTATTGTTCACACACAATTTGAATTGTTGCTAAAGTCAATTTTTAAACTTTAACTTTGTAAGGATGAACAAGAAGGAAAGAAATACCCCCCCCCCTTTTTTTTTTTACAAAAAATAAGAATAAGCCATATCTTTCCCAAAAACTTAGAAATATTGATGGTATTAGAGAATAATTCCTTCAACACTTAAAATAATGTCATACTGTTCAGGACTTATATTTAAATTACTGAAAAAAGTAACAGAATCACTATCAGTGGCTATCAGTGGCACATACATGTTTGCTACTCAACCCAAGGAATAATGAAACTAGACACAGAAATAGGATAAAAGGAGGGCAATTTAATCAACATGGAACAACTTGGTGCAGGAGTGGCTGGAGTGGTGGGTTTCACCTAGGGCAGTGATGGCTAACCTTTTAGAGATGGAGTGCCCAAACTAGGATGGTTGGACACATGGATGGTGGTGAGCAGGATGGCTAGTGAGGGCAGGCAAGCAAGGGTGTGGGCAAGCAGTGGGCAGGTGGTGACTGACAAGCAAGCAAGGGGGCAAGTAGCAGGCAGGCAAAGGAGGCGGGTGAGCAGGCAAGAAAGCAGGGGGTGGGGTCGGTGAGTGGAGTAGGATGGTGATGGCTTGTGTTCTAGGAGAAAGGGTTCTGTGTGCCCCTTCTGACACGTGTGCTATATAGGATCACCACCACTGACCTAGGGTGAACTTTTGGCCATACATTTAAAAAAGATTTAGTTGTGACAATTTTTGTGCATTTTAATTTTATTGTTACTCCAAAGAAAGGATAATATTAAACAAAATCATTATTTTACAATGTATATAATATACAGGTCATAATATAAAATACAAATGTTCAAAGAACAGATAATACCAAACAAACCCCTTATTTTACATTGTATACCATATACAGGTCATAATATAGAATACGAATGTACAAATTTGCATTTTTCTCAGTCCTAACTCATATGTCCACTGATGCTGCAGAAATAAGCCCTTTTTATCCCATATAAATTTCAAGAACATTTCATGACTATAGTCTAATGTTTTAAATGTATTTTTAATCTAATATTTTATCTTTTGTATAATGTTGTTTGTAATGTGTTTTTGTATGTTGTCGGCATCGAATTGCTGCCGTTGTTGCTGGATTGAGCAGGACATGGTAGAAATGTTGGAAATAAATAAATAAATGGCTACCATTAGCTCTGACTTAATGAGTCCTTTCATTTCTCTGATCAGTCCATTTTTTTTGCTCATGAGTGAAAAAACTTTTTCAGTATGCACATTTGTGTCTGAGATACTTAAAACCAAGCCAAAAACTTATTAAGATTTGGCACATCAATTTGTTTGTTTCTTAAATCACTGAAAATATTGACCCAATTTTGTTCTATACTTCTGGTTTTTACCACATTCACAACCCTTTTTACACGACAGCACTCTTCATACAGGCTGTCCACATTTTCAATGTAAACATTAGATTCTTTTACAATGGTTTGCAAATGTCTGAAAGTTCAGTATTTACATTCAGTGTCAAAAGACAATGAACAGGATTTGCATTTGATAGCTCAACGTTCTTGGAAATGGACTTATGCAGGCAACAGTAGAAATTAACAAAATTATCTCTAGCATATTTTTGCATGGGTAGATTCAAATGCGTTATTTTTTTTGTGGCAGTACAATTTTTTTTCCTATTTTCTATCCCCTGCAGAATTTTGTTATCTAGCGTTCCATGATACCAAAATTTATCACATCTTAATATTCCACCCTTCTGCCAAGATGTGTAGGTCTGATATATGCATTATAGACATGCTCAATTTGTATTTTATACAGACATAAATGAGCCCCCGGTGGGTGCAATGGGTTAAAGCACCGAGCTGCTGAACTTGTTCGCAGTTTCGAATTCGGGGGGCAGCGCGATCAGGCTTTTTGAGGTATGGTCACAGCTGGCACACAAGTTTTACCAAAAGTCCTTCCGGCCACCATCGACACCTGAGCTTCAAGTGTCAGCAATGATTCCAGGAGGACACCAGACTGTGGACCTGTGTCCAGAATCCCTGGAGTTGATAAGCCACCACTCACTCCAAAACCTTGCCCAGAAAAGGGAGATTTGAAATGGGCTGGTAGTTATTTAATACAGTAGTTATTTAATACAGAGCAGTCCAGGGACAATTTCTTTAAAATTAGTCTTACAATTGCTTTCTTAAAGCTAGATGGAAGTTGTCTCTGTTCCAACGAGGAATTAACAATCCTCATAAACTACCTACTGGCAAGTTTGATAAGCCAGGGAGGACAAGGGTCTAAATCGCATGTGGTCGCCCTCACAGCTCCAATAATCTTGTCCACATCATCAGGCCATACATATTGAAATGAATTAAAAAAATGAGACAGACAGGTGCCTCAGGTACCTCTATTGGCACTACCCTAAAGCTGGTGTTAAGGTTGTAACATATCTGAACAACTTTGCAAAGTGATGGGTGAACTTTCTACATTGAGTCATCAAGAGGTCAAGAGTCTCCCCTTGAGAACCAGGATGGAGGCATTCCCTGGCCACTCAGAACAACTCCTCTGGGCTATTCATTGCAGACGCAATGTAGGCAGTCAAGAAAGCCTTCGTGGCTGTCTTTATTGCTGCGGAGTAGGCTCTAGGTGAGGCTCTAGCTTGTGTTCAGTCAGATTCATCCCAAGGAATCCTCCAGACTCACTCCAGTCTCCACCTCACTTTCTTCATCACTGTCAGCTCCCAGGTAAACAAAGGAGCTAAGTTGGCTCTGCTGAGTGAGAGGAAATGTTCAGGAGTGATCGAGTCCACTGCTCTGGTCACCTCTATGTTCCAAAGGTTGACCAGGGCTTTGACAGGATCATCTGTCACCATGACAAGAAGCTCCCCAAGAGACGTAAGGAATCCATTCAGATCCATAAGTCTCCTGGTACAGACTATCTTAATGGGTCCCACACCCCTGCAGAGGTTAGAGGCTGTGGTTAGTCTAAACCTAATCTGGTAGTGGTTGGTCCATGCCAACGGAATAATTGAAAGTTCCTCCAACATGACATTTTCATCCCCATCCACTCTAAAGATCAGATCAAGGGTGTGTCAAGCTACATGGGTGGGCCCAAATATCATTTGGGACAGCCCCATGGTTGTCATGGAGGCCATAAAGTCCTGAGCCACCCCAGACAGGGTGGCCTCAATGTGGACGTTGAAGACCCCCAGCACAATATTTGAGAACCAATATTTGAGCCTCCGATGAATTTGAATTGCTTAGAAAACAGATGAAAACATTTCCATCTCAGATGGAGGCTAGAGTATATTTGTTCTCATTTGCTTTAAGATCATTCAATCTGTTTGAAAGAAAGAGTACATAAATTCATTTATAAATTGAATTTTATCCCCTGATCTGTCTTTAATTTTTTTTTAAAAAAATGCATCTTTTTCTGCTGGAAAGGATGTGAAGGCAAAAGAATTTTGATTCATATGTGGCTATATAACACCAAAATGAGAGATTTCTGGAAACAAATATAGAATCTAATAAACATAATTACATCCCAGTTTTCTTCAGTGCATTTTAATATTTTTAACATTTAATGTTTTAACATATACATTGTTGCATTTTATTAAATCCTTGGTTATACTTTTATTTTGTCATTTGCATTATTTTTAGCTTGTATTGTTTTAAATATATTATTGCCTGTTTTCAATCTCAATATTGAGAGAAAGGTGTAATACAACCGAATAAAATCATGACCATTATCTTTGAGAGCTCTGGAATGGAAAATTTGTTACTTTACATCAAATACTTTATCTATTGGAAACTGAAGACTCGAATTGTTACCTGGCAAGAGAAGGGAAAGTATGTTCAAACTGTCTTCATCCCATTGCTGGGAGCAGCACTTTACATGTAGTCTTGTGGGCCTAACAAGAGGCCACCTTGCATGGAAGGAAACATGGTTAATTGCTTACAGCTCCAACTTCATTAATTTCAGCTCTACCTTTAGTATGATCCAGGTATCAGATAACTGGCTTTCATCCAGTGGACCAACATCTGTGTGGTTGGGCAGTAGGACTCCTTCCTACCTCAGCTTGCTGTGGTAGTTCCAGTGCAGACACCATGCAGGTCTAATCTAGTATCCAGGATGTGAGATGGGCCTGCATTACATGTCAGTATTTGTACCCATTGCCACTTGGGGGTGAAACCGAGATTTAGATTTCTAAGCTGGACCTGACTCCTGGACACCTGCACTCCCAAATATCCTGAAGTGGACCCATGAGGATGGAATGAAAAGCTATCAGTCCTATTTTTCCCAAAACTTGTTTTTGATCCAAGCCACAAAATCAAAGGGGTAAACCAATAGCATGAATGGAGCATGAATGAGTAACATTCACACCAAATGCTAAGCATGTCATAAAAGGTGGGAAGGTAGAATTTTTTCCAGGACTCTCTTTTTTCTTTTTTCCTTCTTCAAGAAGATTTGATGTCTGACCAAAAGAACTTCTCATCCTCCATCTACTGGCATGTCATTTCCCCAGAACCGTGTGAAAGCCATGGGAAATCTTGGGAAGAGGATAACAAGAGAGGAAATGACTAATAAGTTTGCTATTAGAGTTTTGTATGAAATTTGTTCCTACCATTTCTATCATTTCTTTCGTGTCTTCCATTATTTTGGAAGCACAAAACAGGAAGCCACCTCCCTACACAAAAATCTACTCAACATGAAAACCGGCTTTCTTGTGTTCCCTTGCCTTGGGAAATAGAGTGTGTGTGTGGCAGGGCATGCAGGCAGGCAGGCCTGGAGCTTGGTTGCAGGCATTTTTGGGTTTGCCTGCATGCCCCTCCACACATGCACTCTCAGAGAGTGTGGCGGTACATGTGGGGTGGGCATGCAGACAGGCCGGGAGCATGCCTGCAGCTGTATGCCTCTTGCTCTAGAGTAAGAGGCACTTACTCTTCAGGACACTGGCAAGTATATGCGCTTTCCTGGCCTGCCTGCACACCCCGCCAAGGAAAGCATTCACGCCTGCTAGTGCCTACTGCTGACCACCTCTTACTCTAGAGTAGAAACAGCAGGTGCCAGGATAGAAGAATACATGCCAATAAAGATGCAATGTTTGCGGCCCTGAATTGAAAGAACCAAAAACAACCCTCCCAATTTCAGGAGGCTCACCAAAAATGGATCAACGCAACAAAAGCTGCAACACGAAATGGGGCAAGGTTTACCCTGAAAGCACAACCCTACTTGTTACCCCATTTTTACTGGTCTCAAATCCACAGGCAAGAATGAGGGGAATAAATGTTTATATCCTTTAAATTTCCCAAACAAGAACCCACCATCACATCATGCATCTTATCTTATTTATTTCCAATAATGGTTTCTTATAAGAAACCTTCATATTTAGCATTTTCCAGAGAGCAACCTTGATCTCTTTATTTCTTAAGCTATAGATGAATGGATTCATCATGGGAGGCACCACAGAATACATACCTGCAAATATAACACCATGGTCTGATGGGGAATTAGATGCAGGTAAAATGTAGGCGAAGAGCCCAGTAAATACAAACATGGAAATGACAATGAGATGAGGAAGGGAGGTAGAAAAGGCCTTTTTCCTTCCCTGCACAGAGCGTATTTTCAGTACTGTAGAGAAGACTTGTACATAAGTAATAATGATGAAAATTAAACAACAAGAAGCTATACCAACACTCAGTACTATAACACTAATTTCAATAAGGTGTAAGTTGGTGCAGGAGAGCTTGAGTAGTTGGGGTATTTCACAGAAGTATTGGTCAACAATATTGGAGCAGAAGGAAATTGCAAAAGTGCTACCAGTGTGCATTGCTCCATATAGAAGGCCACTGATCCAGGCACTGGCAACCATTTGTTTGCAGCTTGCTTTGTTCATTATTGTTTCATAGTGTAAAGGGTTACAAATGGCAACGTACCGATCATGAGCCATCACTGTGAGTAGAGCAAAATCAGATGCCAAAAAGAATATTAGGAAGAAAACCTGTGCAACACATCCAGAGTAAGAAATCCATCTGGTATTCAATAAGGAGTTAACTAAATATTTAGGTATGGTTACAGAGACTGATCCAAGATCCAATATGGCCAAATTCATCAAGAAGAAGTACATAGGAGAGTGCAGATGATGGTCAAAAACTATTGCAAAGATGGTGAGAAGATTCCCAGTCATGGTCAGTAGATACAGTGTAAGGAAGACAAAAAAGTGTATAATCTTTAGGTCCCGAACCTCAGAGAATTCCAGCAGTAGAAAATAAGTAATGACACTTGCGTTGTCACTGACATTCATTCTGTGAGTCTGAATACTTGCTGGAAAAGGAATAAGATGGAGATGTGTTACAAGACATTATGATGGATAGAATGTGGACATTCCTTTGAGATACTGATACCAATGTGAAATTGAGTTACTCAGTGAACTACAGAACCAAGGAACCCGTTGCTCTCATGTTCCTTCCTTCGGCAGCGTGTACTGTAGATGTGTATTCAACAGCATTTTAAGGTGTATATTTGCACAACTTTACATTCAACACAAGGGATGCATAACACAATCAATGCATAACTCATAACGTAGGTTTATACTACAGAACCATAATGTAACATTTGAATATAAATAGTTTTTATTTATGAACAAGAAATTAGTTTGTTTAGTGGGAAACTTAGATATACTAAAAATGCCATCAGTCATTAGGGAAATGGAAGGATGGGACTATAATGAAAATTTTCTCCAGAAATTCATTTCTAAATAGGGCAATACATTTTAATCTCCTTTTTATAATGCTCTAAAGAACCTTGTTTATGTGAATTCATGCACAACTATATTACAGCACATTAATTTATTTTCTCTCATTCAATTTTGTCCTGGTTCTCAATTTGGCTATGATCCCACTAACTCGTCTCAAGGTCTAATGTCTGTGTTTTCTACAACTATGGGTGGATATGGATAGCAGAAACAAGCAATTTTATTGCTTGCTTGAGTGTTTCAAAACAAGCAAACAGCTAGAAGCATAGTAAAAACAGATATGTAAATGCGCTAAGGGTAGCAGATTCTCTCTGATCTTGGGAGTTAAGCAGGGCCAACTTTATTAGTACTTCGTTGGGGCATTGCCAAAGAATAGTAGATGCTGTAGGACAGATTTCAGAGAAAGAAAATGGCAAAACCACTTTGGAGTATTCTTTGCTTAAGAAAACTATAACATTCAAGTCTTCAGATGGCTTGAAGGCTTTCACAAACATACTTTATTTATTCAAATAACAATTTCTATCCCATCCTTTTAATATTTACACAGCACTCAAGGTGGCTAAAAAAAGTTAAAGTCTGCCATAAATTGCCAAAACTGTGACAATATAATAAAATGAAATAGCCAAGACATCAAATAATCAGCACAAATGAAGCATTAGATAAAACTTGCAAAGTAATACAGTACTTTTCTGAACAAGAGGGTCATTTTTCACATACAGTGAAATCCTATCAAACTGCCCATGGCAAAAATAAAACAAATCTAAAAAATAGATGCATGCAACTCACCTCCAAACATCGAGAATTTGTGAAACCCGGAGCTTCCTAGAAGAAACTGCCCTAGCAATTTTTACACTTAGGAATACACAAAGAACTTAGTCTTTTATGTATAAATATTGACGTTTCCAGATGCACTTTCCTTCTGCAGTTAAAAAGAGACATCAAGAAAACATTACTGTGAATACCTTTTAATTTGCATTCTGCTTTCTGATGCCAAAATCTGTTTTATACTGGTAACAAAAAATGTCTCCAGGGATGTAGTGAATAAATCACTTTCTGTGTCTCTTAAGTTTTGATCTCAGGAGCTCTAAACAATTTAATGATAGAAGAACTTTTGTTTGGCCCATAGGTCTGCTAATACTGACTGCTAAAGAATGCCAGTAAGTTGAAAATTAAAAGAAAATCTTGTTGCAGCCCAAATATATGCATTATAAATGTGGCAACATTATGCATAGTTAAATGGTAGATTAACCAAATTGAGGTTCAAAGATGCTTGTTTTTATTCTCCCAATCCAGGCTGTGCTTTTCTGAGAAACATCTGCATTAACAATGATGGTCAACAGGAACTTTGAAAACAAGAACTTTTGGTTGTTTAGGATGTTACCAACTGGGTTGTTCTTTCGAAGGAAGTCACCATTACATTTGGAAAAAATTCAACATACCATCAATTTGCCATCAGTAAGAATGTCATGACAAAGAACTGGAAATTTTAGCAGATAAGAATAATGTGCTTATGTCATGGTCATAACAGTGCAGAAATCCTGCTATGCCATATGTCCTATAGTAGTTAGTACATAGCAGTAAACATGAATTCTATTGGATCTCTCTCTGTCTCTCTCATAGCAATTCAACTACAAACAATATTACACATTTTGAACTATTCTTGGAATATTTTAAATAGTCTTCCCATTGTCTCGCATCAGAACAACATATTTTATGTGTGACCAAGACCCAAAACTAACATATAACACAGCTCAGTATTTAAGCAAAACAATATGATTGAGAACAACATATGTGGGGTTGATCAGGGTAAATTGTAGGGGTGATAAGGAAATATGATGTGTATACTCAGTTTTATCATATTTATTTACTGCATTGTTATAAGTGTCTTATTTTAACTTACTACATAGAGTGCGGTCAAGTCTTATCAAGCCTTGTTGTTGGGTTTGGTATTGTGATATGGCCTAAGGGCCAATCAATAAAATTACTAGTACTAAACATGGGTTCTGTTTAAACATAGAAAAATACTTTTAAAATTCAAATTACAGTTCAAAATGAGTTTCTTCTTAGGAAAGTCTAACCAAGGGAGATCTAGATGGGTTGGAGTCTTTTCAATTTGAGATTTATTCTCCAAGTAAAAAGCACATGGACTTTTTCTCTTGTATTGCTTTCTTTCCCCACCAGTCCTCCTTTATCCTTTCTGTAATAACAATATTATTTTTGGGATCAATGGAATCTCACATCCCCTTCAAATAGGCCTGGGTAACAACAGAAAAATTTGTTTCTAAAATCGATTCGTTTTTTGGGGTTTTTTGCGTTTCGATATTTAAAAGAATTCCGAAATTTTCCTTTAAAAAAGTTCGATATTTACGAAATTTCGTAAATGGTAAAAAAATTACAAAACAATAATGAAACAATAACGAATCGATTCGTTAATGGCGGCCGCGATCGCGCAATACGCTAAAAAAACTTCTGAAGCTTCCCTCTCCCTCTGTTGTTGACTGTTGGTGTGATATTATAATTTTTTTTCACTAATTAAACAAAAAACAACTATAAAATTTGCCCCAGACGTGCGGAAATAAAAATGAAACGACCTCAAACCAATAACGAAACGAATACATAACGAAATATGAAGCATTTACGAAACGAATTGAAAAATTCGTTTCATTTTTAAGTTGCTCCAGAATGGTTCGTTATCGCTTCGTTAACAAAAAAACGAATTTTTAACGAATTACGAATTAACGAAATGAAACCGCCCAGCCCTACCTTCAAAGAGTACTAGTCTCCAAACATTTTACTCCACTTTCACTCAATGAGTCCAGAACTACTTGTAAGAAGTCAAAACTATAAATATATGTAAGGAAGCAGAAAAATAACCTGTTTGGCAGTGATTTGAAAAACACGTTTTGGCCAAGTGGGCTTAGATCACGCCTTGTCCTTTTAATGTAAACCTTTAATGCAGCCATCATATTTTCCCCAAAAGACATTAGTCCCAAGATCAGGTTTTTTCCCGATTTGGAAACCACTCTTAGCTTTTGTAAAATGATGAAAGAAAATATAGAGAAAACCAGTGAACTTGTAAATGTGATGAACAGCATGGACCATAACAATAACATGCTGACAACCCCCCCCCCCCCAACATTTTGATTGTTCCAGAACAGATAAACAATTTATTTTGAAGAGGAGGGAATGACCCACGGTGGGATGGAATGAATCACCTTGACTCATAAATCTCAGCATGGAGGAATAGAATGGGTTAGGGCTTATATACATTTTAAAGAAACTCCTGCTAATGTTATGGAGATGGCTCAGAAGAACAGCAACAACTAAAAATAAGAAATAATTTCCCCACTTTTGTCTTCTTAAATCTATTTAGCAATAAAGTTCTGAAATTTGGGTTGGAAAGACAATAATCAGCTTGAGCCTTTTGGCACTTTATAGTGTGGTGCCATGAATGAGATTTTCTCAGACATACTGTGATTGATATACTTCCTCTTATGCTTAAACCACCTTACCCTCAATTGAACTATTTGTTTAATTTATTATTATTATTATTATTATTATTATTATTATTATTAAAAACCTATTATATTCAACTCAACTTTGGAAAGGGAAAGAGTACTAGAAATGTGAGAGACAGCATTGATCTCAAAATAAGGACAAGATGGAACAAAAACAAGGAACATTGAGCAAATTCATGATTGAAAAATCATTAAAATTAGACATTAAAACCTCTATACTCTAAGGCAGGGGTCCTCAAACTTTTTAAACAGAGGGCCAGGTCACGTTCCCTCAAACTGTTGGAGGGCCAGATTATAATTTGAAGAAAACATGAATGAATTCCTATGCACATTGCACATATTTTATTTGTAGTGCAAAAGACACTTAAAAACAATACAATAATTAAAATGAAGAACAATTTTAACAAATATAAACTTAGTAGTATTTCAATGGGAAGTGTGGGCCTACTTTTGGCTGATGAGATAGGATTGTTGTTGTTGTGTACTTTCAAGTCATTTCAGACTTAGGTTGACCCTGAGCGAGGGCCGGGTAAATGACCTTGGAGGGCCGCATCCGGCCCCCGGGCCTTAGTTTGAAGACCCCTGCTCTAAGGATATGCTTACCAATGTATTATGTAGAATTTGAAATAGCAAAATGGAAAGGATTTGTTTTTATTTTAGTGTTTCTTTCATTTTTGTATACCTAAACGCTGTTGATCTTCACTGAATTTAACAAAGTTATCAGTCAAGAAATTTATTTTTAATACACTTTGCTGAGTTATAATTGGCCACCCCTGGGAGCAATGTTCCAGAACCACAGAAGACAAATTAATACATCTCTTCAATTGAAGACATTTTTCTTAATAAATCCAAGTGGAAAGGGACTTTCATGCAGTGACATGGATGTCTTCATTGACACACAGGCAGCTCACTGTTAAGAAGAAAAGTAGATTTGAAATCAAAAGCAACCTGTGAAGAAAAGTTGTAAGTGATTTAGAAGTTCTGTGATTATTTTGGGATTTTCTCAAATGTTTTCACAGGTTTTTCTTTGCTTCCATATTTTCTTTTCTTCATATATTCTCTGCTGTAATATTTAAATATCTAAAGGGTTGTCAGAAATAGAAAGTTCTGGGGTTCTTTTCTGATAGCCTATGAGGTAAAACAGATCATGGATTCAAATTACAAGAGAGTGGACTTTGAGTCAACATTTGAAGATTTTTTTGACAGTAACAGTGGTTCAACAATGGGGCCAATTACCTAGAGAGGTGGTGAGGTCTCTTGACATGTTCAAAAAGAGGTTGGATAGCTTCCTGCTGGGGATGCTCCAGCTGGATTCACTGCACTGAGTCGGGTTTGGAGTTGATTATCTATGGGGCCCCTTCCAACTATGAGTCTATATTTTTGCCTTTTCTTATGATTCTCCCTGCACCTATGAATCAATATAGTTTAGTCACCATCTAACTAGGCTGCCCATATTTTTTTAGATATTTCCTACATACAAACAAGTGATTTATAAAAAATCATGCAAACTGTTGGCTACTTTCCGGACAGTACTGAGATGTGCATTAGATATGTAAGTTGGGCAGGGCTGTGGCCTTACTTGAGTGGATTGCACTCTTAAAAGGAAATTTGAACTTAATGTAAGAATTACTTATCTGTTTGAGAAGTTTACTTCTCTGTTTGAGAGTTTAGGAAAGCAAGAATGAATTGATGGAAGACATTCTATCAATTCATTCTTGCTGAATATTCTAAGGCCATTTCACCTCTGTTAGAATGCTAGAATTTGTTTATTCAAAAAATTGGAATCATAAGAAGAATTAAAGCAATATCATATGTATGTATGTATGTATGTATGTATGTATGTATTATAGAGCCATATGAACTATATCAAAACCTGCTACAGACATGTGATTTTTTTGATTGAGACCCACCTTGCTGGGTAAGACCAGTTTATCTCAGCGGGGCATACTTTCAAGAGGATATGTTTTAGGATTGTATTGTTGAAGTGAGATTTGAAGTTGACATGCTGGTTGCCTCTCTGATATTACATCTGAAGAGTATTAGAAAAGTAAACAAAATGTATTGATAAGAACATTTTTGGGGATGTGAACCTAGAAGAAAATTATGGAAATTATGGATTAATATACTGTAAATGTATGAATGATTTTAGGGTATTAGTTCTAACCCTGGCCACATATTGCTCCCAATTAAGGATGACAAGTTTTATAATCAGTCACAAATTATTACCTCCCAAGATAACTACATCCTATAATATAAAAGGAATTTAGTAATAGGAACATGAAGTGTATCAACCAGGAAAAAAATAAGGGAAGAAGTTGAAATGGGAATTTGCTTTATTCATTCATTTATTTTTGACAGCAGGTTAAAAAGTTAAACTTGAGCCAAGACTTGTGCTAAATATCAATTTCTGCTAAAAATTAATATGGCAATTCCTGCCTCTCCAGTTCTTTTATGCTCATTTTAAAGGCTGCCAATTTGTGGGTGGGATTTAGTGGGGACTGTGTGTTTTAAAATGCATTTTAATTGTATGTATTATATTTTAATTGTATTTTAACATAACCCACACAGTACTATTTAATTTTTTTGTTTGTATTTGCTTTGCTTTAAATGGGGACCAAAGTGTGTAGTTGTTATTTGCCTCAAGTCTCCATGAGGAGAAACACGGGATATAAATAAAGTAAATAAATAAAATAAGAAGATTTTTTTATACAGACAGCAGAAGTACTGAGAAGCAAATCCATTCTCTCAGTGTTTTGTCTTCTAGAGATTTTGTCTTCTCAGAGATTTGAGAGCTATGACCTCTACACTTTGTTGTGTCCTTGTCTTTTACTTTACAACAGTTGCAAGAAACCTTCCTATTATCTGAACAGTACCTTGTTCCCCCACTCTAATATGTACATTCCTATGTACTTTTTGCCTGCGATTAGATTTTGTAGTTATCTCTGTAGGAATGCTTAACTACTGTCTTCCTTGTGCTTGAACAGGCAGCCACTATGCCTCTTAAGGAGCAACAATTAATGAATCAGTCTTCTTTGTCAGAATTTCTTCTCCTGGAATTCTCAAATGTTCGGAAGTTCCAGATACTACATTTCATTGCGTTCTTCATCTTCTACCTGGTAGCAGCTGCAGGAAATCTTCTCATCATTGTCGCAGTAGCATCTGACCACCATCTGCATAACCCTATGTACCTCTTTCTGATGAATTTGTCCATACAAGATGTGGGGCAGATTTCAGTAATCATTCCCAAATCCATGACTAATTCCCTTATGAATGACCGGCACATTTCTTATTCTGGATGTGTAGCTCAAGTCCTTTTCTATATTTTGTTTTTATCATCCGATTTCTTTCTTCTAACAATTATGGCATATGATCGATATGTTGCCATTTGCAATCCATTGCAATATGAGATGGTGATGAACACACATGCCTGCTTTCGGATGGTAATTGCTGTGTGGATCAGCAGCTTATGCTATGCGATTTTACACACTGGGGGCACCTTCACACCCTGCTTTTGCTCCAATGTTGTCAATCAGTTTTTCTGTGAAATCCCACAGTTACTGAAGTTGACCTGCTCTGATGTATACCTTTTTGAAACTGGAGTAGTTTTATTAGGAGTACTTGTTGGGGTAGGATGCTTTGTTTTTATTGTAGTGACCTATGTGCACATCTTCATTGCAGTGCTGAAAATCGCTGTTATCCAGAGAAGGCAAAAAGTTTTCTCAACCTGTATTCCCCATCTCCTTGTTTTTTCCATATTTATATCCACTGGTGGTTTCTCATACCTTAGAGCCACCTCTGGTTCCTCATCATCTTTTGACTTGGTCCTGTCCATGATCTATTCTATGGTTCCACCGTTAATGAATCCAGTAGTTTATGCAATGAGGAACAAAGATATTAAAAATGCTCTATCTAAGGTATCATTACTTAGATACTTTACTCGAAATTTCTTCTCCAATCTCATTCACCAGAGCTGAATTGATAATTTAAATAACTGTAGTTGGTGGTGTAATGGTGAGCAAACTTTATTTTGTAGATACTGTAAAATTGTTTCCATTGCTTTATGTGTATGCATACAGAAACAACAAAGAACGCATTTCTGTTAGTTTACAGGTTGAATATATATCTTGATACTGCAACTCTTTCTTCCAATGGGTTTGTATTTGATCCAATTGTCTTTTCTTTCACTAAAAATAAAGCTGAAATTATTCAATTAATGTTTTTGGACAATTTTTAACAAAACATTAACTTCTCTTTTTTCCCAGAGCTGGAGATCATAAAGTTCTCTTCACACTTTCTATATTAGAGGTGGAATCATGTAGCACTCCATATGTTGTTGGATTTAGATTTCAGCATTCACCATCTTTATCTATGCTGGTTAGGGCTGTTGAGTGTTACAGTTTTACAACGATTGGATGGCTCCTGGTTTCCTACACTAACTCTATTGGACTTCCAGGAAAGAAGTAGTTTCAAAGTATCTGTCTGAAAGTCAGTCATTTTTGGGATGGACAGGTCTACCCTAGGCAAAGTTTCTTGAACTTATAAAATGAAAAAGCTGTTTCAAGAAAGGCAGTTGCGTGACTTTGAAATAGAAATTGAGAGAGAAAAAGAGAGGAAGACAGAGTCTCTAAGACAATTTTACTGTGCAACAGTGAATTGAAAGGTATCTTAATCTTATAATGCAAATACAAAACGCATAAATTTTGATATAGCCCTTATCCCAAATGTTTGGGACCAGAGGTGTGGGATTTAGATCCCACCCCCACTAGCTTTGAAGTCCTTGTAATCACATGTCCATGATGAAATGATATCTTGGAGATGGGAGCCAAGTCTAAACACAAAATTGATTTATATTTCATATGCATCTTCTACATATGACATAAAGTAAATTTTATCCACAATATTTTTAATAATTTTGTGCATGAAACTGCATTTGTTGAACCATGAGAAAGCAAAGATTTTACAGCTTCAGCCACCCCTATGGCCAATTTTGGATTTTGGAGTAGCATGCTGTCATGAAATCTACCTTTCAGTCGACTGGGCTGAAGCCTGCATGACAGTGGCTGTCATCTTGGAAGGCAGGCAGGACAGGAGGAGGAGTCAAGCCGACTCCTGATTGGGTATAGCAATTGGGGGAGGAGTCGGTTGAGAGAGGGAAATAAGCTGTCAGCTTTTGACAGGGGGAGAGAAGTGTTTTGACAAGGGAAAGAGAAGGAAGGGATTTTTAAGAGAGGAAGCTAGATAGAGCAGGGATCTGACAGAAAAGGAAGAGCTTTTAGTGAGCCTTAGGTTTATGGAATAGGCTGAGACAGGAGTCTGTTCTCAACTGATACTGTTTCTAAGGTTAGAGCAGTGTGTTAAAGGAAACTCACAGTTGTTAAAAGCTTTTCTGTCAGGAGAACTATTTGTTTAAGTAACCAAGTTTCTGCAACTGAATCACGCTTCTGTACCACTCATTTCTATGAGTTGTTGTTAATATAAAGTTCAATAAACTCTCTCTAGTTAACTTTTAACTGGTGTATGCCTCAATCTATCCATTTCCTCAGAACTCACTCTGCCAAACCCAGTTTTGAAGTCCAGTCATCCAGTGAAGAAACAATAGAAGAATCAAGAGCTCAAACACCCCTTACCTATAACACATTCACACCTTTGGTCCCTCAGACCAGTAAATCTGAGGTGGTGGCGGCTAATACTACCAAGAACATTCGGTCATTTATAATATTTTATTCTCCCTTGCCTTGAGGGGCAGAGGTGGGATTGGTTGTTTGTCCCCCCTGCCTCAGATATCCTTGTAACTTTGCTATATTGGTGGCAGCGGTGGGATACGTGACTTAAAGCCTAAATCCAGTGGGGTGGTGTGATTTTGTGAGGTAAAGGTTTGCGCCAAAGCATTTCTGAAGAAATTTTACCTCAGAAACTGCTTAAATACACCATTATACAGCAGCATGGCGCCTCCTAAACACCAAAAAGCACCTGTGGTTCCTACTCAGGGAGAGGAACAGGAGGAGACTGTAGAAAGGGGAGACCCAGAGATAGTGGCTACCTCTTTACAAATTGAAAAGTTAAGGCTTGAGATGGAGTTGAGAAAGATGGAGTTTCAAGCCAGAGAGAATGAGAGACAATGTGAAGCTGAGGAAAGAGAGAAAGAAAGACAGCTAGAAGCTGAGAGGATGAAACATGAGGAAAGGATGATGGAGTTACAAGTGAGAGATAGACAACCCACATCCAACCCTAGTATAATCCCTGCTGAACCCGTAGCTTCCTATGTAAAACACTTTCCCAAATATACAAAGGGGGATTGTGTAGAGAGTTTCCTCGCAAGCTTTGAGTGAGCGTGTGCAGATTTTGGGGTGCCTGAGGAAAAAAGAATGGCACACTTAAGACCATTGATCTGTGGGGAACTGAGTGAAGTTTATGCCAGCTTGACAACTACAGAATGGTCTAACTACTCTGTCTTTAAAGAGAGAGTGAAGGTTCGGTTTGGTCTAACCCCAGAACAAAGCCGAAAGACCTTCAGAGAGATTAAGAGGAAGCCTGGGGAGACATTTTCCCAAGTAGGGGCTAGGATTGAAAAAGCTCTAGTACGATGGCTAGAGGGTAGTAAGGTGACCACCTTTGAGGCTTTGAGGGACCTGATCTGTATGGAACAGGTCTATAAACTGGTCCCAGCACAGTTACGTTGGTTCATTAAGGATAAGAAGATCCAGACAGTGGCCGAGTGTGCTTCAGTTTTGGACGGGATGGAGGGAGACTTTGAAATGGTCCCCCCAATGTTCAAAAAGCAGAAGGAGTGGGTCCCGAAGGGCAGAACTGACAAGGAGGGTCAGGGAGCCAAGCAAGGGGATGCCATCTCTAAGCCTGTGCCACGTAGGATCGTATGTTTCCTTTGTAACCAGGAGGGACATGTTAAAGCCTCATGCCCAAAGCTATCTAAGGAGAGAGCTGGAAGCCTGCCAAAATTTGTTAAAGTGGTCAAAAAGACTCAACCACAAGAGGAAGAACCTACTCCTGAGGGAGAGCCCATCAAAATAATGAGGGTTTGGAGTATGGACCGTGGTGTAAACAAAGAATACTTGGAAGAGGTCCAAGTTAATGACCAAAAGCTAATGGGACTGAGGGACACAGGCGCTGACGTATCTTTGGTGCGCCCTCATGTAGTTGAAAAAGATCAGATAGTGCCAGGAAAGAAGTGGACACTAAAAGGAATAACTGGTCCCAGCTTTGAAGTAGATGTGGCAGAAATCCCAGTCAAATACCACAAGGCTTTTTGTGGTAGATGGAGAGTAGGGATCCTGTCAGACTTGGAGGTCCCTGTGTTAATAGGGAATGATCTGTCAGAACATACGCTGAAGACTAGAAGCCAGGCAGAAAGAGCGGGAATTTCTGAGGAGGGAAAAATCACCTCAGAAATGGCTCATAGCTCTGACTGTAACAACGCAGAAGAGTTCCCTGTAATGTTGCCATCTAGTCAGCCAGCTGAGTTCCTGAGGGAACAGCAACATGCTGAAGATTTAAAGGGCCTGTGGGAATCAGTAGAAACTGAAGAGACTGAACCCACTGAATCCAAGCCAGTGATCTTCAAGAGTATAGATAACAAGTTGTTCAGGATAGTGAGACATCAAAAGGGCCCAGGGCTGTATGAGGTAGTTACACAGCTAGTAATACCTCCAAAATACAGGGAAAAGATCCTGAAAATGGCCCATGACACCTCGTTTAGTGGTCATCTAGGGGTCAAGAAGACTAAGGATAGGGTGCAGGGCCGGTTCTTTTGGCCCTGAATGGCACAGGACGTTGCCACCTACTGCAGATCCGGTCAGTCCTATCAGTTTGTGGGCAAAGCAAAAGACAAAACCAAGGGACTGCTGCAACCTATTCCTGTTGTGTCGATTCCTTTCGAAAAAGTGGGGATAGATATTCTTGGCCCGATGTCGCCTGTGACCAAGTATGGACATCGCTACATCCTCACAGCGGTGGACTTCGCGACCAGATACCCTGAGGCAATTCCCCTGAAGGAGATTGACACCAAGACTGTAACACACGCACTCCTGACGTTGTTTGCGCGTGTGGGGTTCCCTAAATCTATCGTGACGGATTTGGGAACATCTTTCATGTCAGTTTTAATGAAAGAGATGCTGCGTTCCTGTGGGATTCAACACGTGACGATGACTCCATACCATCCACAGTCGAATGGCCTGACGGAGAGGTTCAATGCGATGTTGAACCACATGCTGAGAACCTATGTACATCGCAACCCCAACGATTGGGACAGAAGAATCCAGTATTTCCTGTTTGCCTATCGCGAGGTACCACAAGAGAGTACCGGATACAGTCCGTTCCAACTGCTATATGGCCGAACCCTGCGTGGACCTCTAGACATCGTGAGAGAGGCGTGGATCGGACGTGAGGAGATTCCTGAGAAGGACGTGGTCGAGTACATCGAAGACCTTCAGAGACATTTGACTTTGATCCGGGACTGTGCCGCTGAGAGCTTGTCAGCAGCTCAAAGCCGACAGAAGGACTATGCTGACTCTAAAGCTAGGCACAGAAGCTTTGTCGTCGGAGACAAAGTGTTGGTCTTAAAGCCCAGAGCCAAGAAAAAGTTAGATATGGCTTGGGAAGGACCATTTTCCGTTCTTTCTAAAAACTCTGAGGTGACTTACGTAGTCAGAGAAGATGGAGGAGACCAGAGGTGCAAGAAGCTGCACATCAATAGACTGAAACCATATTTTCCTAGGTCCAACTTTGTGGTAAAAATTTTGCCAGAAACTGAGGAGAAAGTGACTCTGTGTAGAGGAGGAAGAGTGTACTTTATTAAGTCCTTGTTAGATTTGGAGGGAAAATTTAAAGATTGTAATGTTGAACAAAAACAGCAGGTGGAGCTGGTGCGTAAGGTCCAGAGAGTGTTATATGGAGATAACACTGTCTCAGCTTCAACCCGGAAAGAAACATCTGAAGATAGGAATATAGGGTTTAAAGTAGTCGTTGGTGGTGCTAAGTTAAGAGCCAAAGGGAGAATTTGTGGCATTGGTTGAAATAGAACAAGGTTCAGCACCTTTATATTTTCCATGCCAGGTTGTTCCCAGGTTAAATTGAGTGTACCAGCTAACTTAAGTAAACCCCAGAGTAACTTTAAAAAGTTACACCATAGTCATCTAGAAGTTTCTTAGTTGTATAGAGGTAATACAAGATGATTATTGGAAATTTAAAACGTTTAATTGCAGGTTGAAATAGTGCATTGATTGTGTTCAGATGTTAGTTAATGCATTATCGACAATGGTATATAGTAATTGTACATGTAATGGTATAGGTAATTGTATTATAGGATGTAGTGTGTAAGGTAATGTATTATATCTAACATGTTTTCTCTTACAGGTATGTATAAATGTATTGACTGTGTTATTTGCATTGCAGGTTTGCTTAGGTAGAATGCATAATATAAATGTATTGTTTGCAATTGCTGTTTAGAATACATATGCAATGTTAGTTAGGATTGGGAACCTGTTAGATAGGAATGTTAGAGTATGTTTAGATATGTTAGGTAGCATATAAGATAGATAGGTAGACAGAATGCCCTTGCCTTAGTTTAGATTAGGTTAGTGGGTTAGTTAGGTGCAAGAAAAGGGAGTTAGTTAAGAATGAGGTCTCTGCAGGTGAAACCCTTTCTTGCAGCTTTAGATTAGAAATCTGAAATCTTACAGAAAGGTCTTAAGGCGGGGAGGGATGTCATGAAATCTACCTTTCAGTCGACTGGGCCGAAGCCTGCATGACAGTGGCTGTCATCTTGGAAGGCAGGCAGGACAGGAGGAGGAGTCAAGCTGACTCCTGATTGGGTATAGCAATTGGGGGAGGAGTCGGTTGAGAGAGGGAAATAAGCTGTCAGCTTTTGACAGGGGGAGAGAAGTGTTTTGACAAGGGAAAGAGAAGGAAGGGATTTTTAAGAGAGGAAGCTAGATAGAGCAGGGATCTGACAGAAAAGGAAGAGCTTTTAGTGAGCCTTAAGTTTATGGAATAGGCTGAAACAGGAGTCTGTTCTCAACTGATACTGTTTCTAAGGTTAGAGCAGTGAAAGGAAACTCACAGTTGTTAAAAGCTTTTCTGTCAGGAGAACTATTTGTTTAAGTAACCAAGTTTCTGCAACTGAATCACGCTTCTGTACCACTCATTTCTATGAGTTGTTGTTAATATAAAGTTCAATAAACTCTCTCTAGTTAACTTTTAACTGGTGTATGCCTCAATCTATCCATTTCCTCAGAACTCACTCTGCCAAACCCAGTTTTGAAGTCCAGTCATCCAGTGAAGAAACAATAGAAGAATCAAGAGCTCAAACACCCCTTACCTATAACACATTCACACCTTTGGTCCCTCAGACCAGTAAATCTGAGGTGGTGGCGGCTAATACTACCAAGAACATTCGGTCATTTATAATATTTTATTCTCCCTTGCCTTGAGGGGCAGAGGTGGGATTGGTTGTTTGTCCCCCCTGCCTCAGATATCCTTGTAACTTTGCTATACATACATTTCAGAGTTCCATATAAAGAATGCCTATTTGCTAATTCTAATTTTACAAAATAGCCGTGTATCAGTTATTTTAAGGGATATTGTCAGTTAAAAAGAGATAAGTATGAGTTTGAAAGAGTTAATATAGTGGTTTGAGACTCGAGAAGGCCAAAGTTCAGACCCTTGCATAACATGGAAAGCCTCACTAGGGGCCCTTCCACATAGCCCTTTATCCCAGATTATCAAGGGAGAAAATCCCATATTATCTGAGTGTGGACTCAAATAACCCAGTTCAAAGTGGATATTGTGGGATTTTCTGCCTTGATATTCAGGGATATAGGGCTGTGTGGAAGAGCCCCTGGTGATGACATGAGAGAGAGTGTTTTCCCAGTGGCTGTGCCCACCCCTCTGGAACTTTCTTCTATAGGAGGCTCGTTTGGCCACTTCCCTGATTTCCTTTCATTGTCAGGTCAAGACTGTTTTGTATATCTTTTAACTTCTGTATGTTTTAATTGATTTCAAAATGTATTATGATATAAATGTAATTGTTATAAAATGGTTTAGCAAATGTTTTTAGCTTATTGTTTTTGGAAGCAGCCTTGATTCCCACTCTGGGGGAAAAGTAGTATTAATACTAAAATACTACTGCTACTACTACTACTACTACTACTAATAATAATAATAATAAACACTGCAAACAACTCTGGGACTTCTGAATTCAGACTGACAGAGTTTTGGAGCACAATACCCCGGCCCTCACGATCATGGAAAAAAACCAAAGTACGGACCATCTATGTTGCAATTCCAGGTGACAGCAGAATTGATGATAAGCAACTGGAAAAGCTTGCCTGATATGAAAATTTAAAGATTGCAAAGACTCTGGCACAAGCCAGTCAAGGTGGAATTCTGCAGGAGGCAGAAACCGGATTTAAAGTGGATTCATTCTCTAGGGTGATGAAGTACCTAGGTACTTCATCACACTAGAGAATGGATCCACTTTAAATCCGGATTATTATTATTATTGTCGTGTCAGGAGCGACGAGAAACAGCAAGTCACTTCTGGTGTGAGAGAATTGGCCGTCTGCAAGTATGTTGCCCAGGGGACGCCCCGATGAATTGATGTTTTTATCATCCTTGTGGGAGGCTTCTCTCATGTCCCCGCATGAGGAACTGGAGCTGATAGAGGGAGCTCATTCACCTCTCCCCGGATTCGAACCTGCGACCTGTCAGTCTTCAGTCCTGCCGGCACAGGGGTTTAACTCACTGCGCCACCGGGGGCTCCATTAAATCCGGATGAACACTTGGGACATGTCCAATGTGGGATCCAATACAAAAGCCAGCATAGTGACCATGTTTGCTGTTAATCTTGTGTATAAAATAATAATAATAAGCATACTTTCACAGAATTCTGTTTTCATTGGTATTTATTTATTTATTTCTCTATTTATGTGATAAAAGATTTTGGGTCTGGAAATGGAATAATCTGATAGAAATATCCAAAGAATGATTGTACATGAGCAAACCCTATTCTTTATTGTATCATCTTTTTAATACATGGCCTGTAAATACCAGTCACAGATTCAATAAAGTTTTAAATCATCTTACATCTGTATTTTTATTTGCCTATGTGATAATAACTTAGAAATAATAAAACCCTTCCCAGAATAGAGGGCAAGTATTATAACATTTTTTGGAATTTAACTTTTAGAGTTGAACTAATTCAGTCTGCCTGTCTGCTGAATCAATGTTCCTCCCCTTGAGACTTGAATTTCCATATAGCAAGGTTAGCCAGGCTTTAAGCTTTGGCTTGTAATTTTCTCCCAACTTGTCAACTTCATTCTCCTGCTGGATTTAAGCACTATTTTTGCTAACATGTTACTTGCAACAGTTGCCAATAGAAGGTCTAAATAATTTTTTTTACAGAAATGCATATTTATAGCTTTTAACATATAGATTTCCAGAGAAACAGAACTTCCACCGAAGAGGGCAAGGCATATGAGGTGCAAAACAAATGGCACTAAAACAAATAGTTCATTTATTTGTCCTCGGGAAGAATTCTACTTTGAATCCACTGGCTTGGGGACAGCAATGGTCTCAGACTCCCACTTAACATTGCTTGCTACATTGGCAAAATATAGCCTATCAACCATGCACATTTTGACAAGACTCCATACAGGGCAGCTCAACCCATTACGCAAAGTAAGCATTTGCAGTATAGTTGATTTTGCCCAGGGGCACTCTTGAGGCGCTCTTGGGGAGAAATAGACCTTGACATATGTGA